GTGATCACCGGCGAAATAAAGCAGGAACTTTCGTCTTGAAGCCTGATCAACCTCCACCGATAAATCAGTGATTATGAGTTCCGGGACTTCGTCTCGCGTCTCGCTCCAATTTTCCCGACATCTTGGATTTTCTCGGGCATGCCGGTTCGCGCGAATTTAAAAGTTATTCCCGGAGATGACTTAGAGAGACCAAGGTCGGGTTTTCTTGGCATGGTTGTACCGGAGACCCCAAAATGGGGACGGTACATTTCGATGTCTGATTTTTCCTGTGAGGCTTTTCCTTCCCGAGGATAATTCGAGGCCCCTCGCCGAGGGGGAACGTTAATCACCAAAGGTTTACGATCGAACCTGTTCCCCCCGGTCCCGTTTCGTTGGCGAGCCGGTAACAGCCCCCCTCCGGAGGTACAGTTAAATAAATAAAATAAGTCCGACCACGAGTGATGACCCTCGCCCGCGTACAACGCACCGAGGCATTTTGTACGCGTGCCGAATGCGAATCAGCCCCGCCACGCGCTTTTCGCATCAGCCCCGAGTATCGACCTCCTGTAAACATTCCTCGCCGATAATGCCTTATCTCGAGTGTGCCTCTCCGTCGGGAGGCATGCTTGATGGCACTTGGAAACTAGTGTGCCAATTGTGTCGGCCTCTTTGCAAAGATGCTCCCTTTGCTCTGCCCTGCACTCGCCACAAGTAGCAAAATGCCGAAGTAGGGCGTCTCGTCAAGTATTTTACTAACGGTTCAATTTTTCAATCAAACCATCATTTTTTTTTTTTCACGACGATACCTCAGGAAAATTCACCCATACGCCAAAATATCCACCCACGTAAACCGTCGGTTCACGTAGGAAAAAAAATTTTTTTTTTGTCCATTTAACAAAATCATTTGATATGATTTCAAGAACTGTTTCGGTCGAGCGATCCGAATTTTAGTTAACTCAATCAAACCAGTTTGCTTCAATCGACCGAAATTTTTTGGTTAAATAGTTACTTTAATATTTCACGTGATTTACCACAATATTTGATGTGTATGTACCAAGATATTTAACCCGTTTTCACCCTCTCAGGGGTTGAATATCGAAAAATCCCTTCTCAGGAAGCACCTATGTTACAAAAGTAACATATCCCCCAAATTTCGCGTTTCTATCCCCGCGGTTTGAGCCATACAACGATGATCAGAGTCGGACAATTTCGCGTTTTTCGAGATTTTCAACGTATGTTACGTAAACCCACGCAGTTCACCGTAGAAAATCGTAGTAAAACCAGTAAATCACGTTACCAACGTGAACTATGCCGCACATATACGATACATGTCATCCGCTAGATGACAATCGTCTTTTAGCACACATATGAACAAGTAATGATTTTTAAGAACCAATTAATCCCCCGCTTGCTTATCAAAATTCTCTCGACTTAACATATCTCAACTGTTTAGCATCAAATTTCTAATTGAATCCATTATTTTCGGTTTTTAAGTAGAAGAGCGTAATATACTATACGCTCGCGTAGAAAACTAGAGACATATTATACGATGTACACGTATAAAACCCAAGTATTTAACATGACGTACACCTTGGTGATGTCAGTGAGTTATTAATTGGCGTTTGTATATACATAATAAAATAAGATCGTTTATCTCTGCTACGAGGGGTATTTAGGCCGAGCCCATTGCGATAGGAGGTGCCATTTCCCATTTTATGGATACTGATAATTTGTCGATTAATTTTAGTCAGTTCATCAAGAAGTTCTTCCTTGATATTTCGCTACGGGACGGCGCTGACGAAACGTACCGGATTGGCAAGAGACCGCGGAGGACCTTCTCTTCTCGCCCGACCTCTGAAGTTCACCGCTTCTTCGCGCGGCTTCCCTCCGAGTCCATGCCGACGTTTCCCCAAGGCACTCCGCATATGCACATTTCCTACACCACGTGACGCCGGGTCGATGCATTCGTCATTTGCATTCTTCTTTACAGCTTAGGGGTACCATCGGCACCGCGATATGGCGACGGCGTGATGTAACCGAAGCCACTTGGGACCGACGTAAAGGTCGATTCAAACTTATCCGTCCCGTGTCCGTGACGATCCGCGCACTGAAGGAAATACCGTCTTCCACGAAAATACGAAACGAGTCATACGAAAATGTATGACTGCTCTGATATAAATCTACGCACCGAAAAAGAAAAGAAAAAGTTCAATGAACAAAATCTCTCGCTTAACCGCAATAGCTTCGTTCAATAATAATAATAATGATGACGATGATCGTAATAATAATAAACGTTTCCTTTGAGCGAACCGAATTTTAGTTTTGACCAAACTCGTTGCCCCGACCAACCAAAGTGTGTCTCAATTAATTGGTATTGTTAAGATTAGAAGATATCTGAGGGAATGCACCAAATATTGGATTAAATGTAAGAAATTGACTTAATACTTCGGGTGGTTTTCCACGATATACACGATCGACTAAAGAATTTGGTCATGTCAATCAAATGACACGCTGGATTTTTCAATGATTGTCATACTCTGTGGTTGAACAAAAATTGTATCGATTAAACCAAATAGTTTTCCGTGCGTAAGAAGAGGTTTGGGTTCCATCAGTGCACGGATACATCGGACTCGTCCTGAAGTCGGTAGAACCTGCGGAACTGGCATCCCCGACGCGTGTCGTTGGTTATCGTGAATTTTTCATGCCGCTTCTTGATGAGAAGTCCTTAGGGTGTCTAATTGCCGGATAATGTCCATCCTTGTCTGAACGGAGCTACGAGGACGCGCGAACGACCTCCTACCATCGCCGGTCGCTCGGCCGAGATTTACGCATCCCAGGAACGGATCTCGAGCGATTCCGGGATATCAGTTAATGGTTTCCCGATCGGCGAGGTATTGGGAGCCGACTTCTGCGCGGCTTTCGGCGAATCCGGAGACACTCGACGTGATATAAAGGCGAGAAAGCGATTGGACTCGTTCTCCGATCTGTTCTCCAAGATGGACGCCGCGGGATTCCCTCGAGTAGCGTTGTAGGTGGTTGGAAGAGATCCAGGTTTTACAGGAGATCCGACGATTGGTTAAAGTTCTACCGCTGTTTAGCGGGTATTTTTTATCGGTATCTTTTTGTCACCTTAGCCAATTTTCATAATCTTTGCTGTAGTGGTGGGTGTATTTATAGTTGCTTGTTTTTTTTTTATATATATCAGTAATACACTGATCTTCCCAGATCACCCGTCCAAGTATTAATCAACGTTGCTTAAGTGTTGGTTAACTTTTAGGATAGGTTGACGGTCTACCAATGTTTACCGTGTATTTTAACCGGTAACCTTTTTACCCACCTCAGCCAATTTTCATTACCTTTGTAATCATGATGGTCATGTTTGTAGATATTTGTTCTTTTTTTTTACTTGTCGCCAAAGCTCGCGGACACCCATCCAAGTACTAACCGCGTCCAACGTCACTTAACTTTGGTAATCTAATGACAAAAAGGTGCTTTCAACGTAGGTTATGCGTTGACCACGAGACTCGATTCAAGCAAGAATATTCCCTTCTGGGCGCGTTTTGTCCCGGTACGACACACGAGGCAGACTTCCGCGAAGGAAGCGTGCTGGCATCGACTAAAAATAATGCAAGAGTCAGGCAAATTTACGCCGGGGACGTCGAGTGCGCGAATATCCGCCGCATCCCCGTTACGCACTTGCTGCGACACGCGGTCTCGCAGGAATCCTTTTTCTTTCCGTTGCGTCTCCAATTATTTATGCGAGGGCGGATGTCCTCGTGAAAACAAATGAATTTTCAGGAGTCTTCCTTTTTTTAGCAGTATTTCAGCTTTATACGTCGTGGACGCGTTTCTTAGGTGAAGTTTACGTAGAGTACTCTCGGCTTACAGAATAAACTGTTAGATGTGTTATAATAAACTGGACACTGCAAATTAAAATTTGAGGTAACTAAACTCTACAGGTAAGTAACAAATTTGGTGAAATCGTTTATTGAATGAAATTGTTTAATTTCATTCTGTTCATTTCAGCAAACGTTTTTGTTGACGGAACCGAGTTTTAGTTCTCTTTATTAAACATGTGTGTTGCCCGTATAATAACCATGTTCTATGGTTGAACCACCAAAAATTGTATTGACTCAACGAAATACTTTTCTTGCTGTAGAAAGCAAATGATATCAATGAAAGCCAAAGTTTGTCCAAACAGTACCTAACTTCAATTACTGAGTAAATATTTGAAGCAAGATAACTAACATGAGAGTACGCAAACAAATCTCCGAAAGCATATGTACAAAGCAGTTATCAATCGCAGTTGTACACTCGATTAATTATATGCTTTGATATTAAATACAAATTATCATTCGAGCTTCACCCTCAAATTAAATAGATATCAATATAGTCACCGATTCCAAAATCTGCAGAACTACCTCTAGTACGCAAGATTGTTTTAAGCTACAGACAGGCACGTCCAGTACTTTCAGCCTTTCGAAGAGAATCCTTTTAGCCGGGACAAGTTACAGCATCATGCTTCTAAATCTCCGAAACTTTACAGCAGGTTTCTAAATATAAATTTTATACCCCGTTACAATGTTCGCGATCTATCCTGCGATAACAACCTTAGTTCAGAGTAACTTAATATCGCATACAATTTTAGACCTACCCCTGGTACACAAGATTGTGATAAACTAGACAGCATAGCTAATAGTTTTCAGCCTTTCGAAGAGCATCCTCTTGGACAGGAAAAGTGGTATATGGAGCATCCAAATTCTCAAGGGTTCGCAGTTGTCAAAATATTAATTTAATACACCGTAACCATGTAGTCTATCGCATGATAACCTTTGTTTAGATTAACTTAGAGGATGTTACATATCCTATTAGAATTTAATTTTGATCAGTATCTGCAGCTGCAATAGAGTCGGCATGCGCTTGTTCCACGCCCAACTCGCTCGACTCGGCGGGTAAAGAGCGCGGAGTAACGCGGTGCGAGCCAGAGGTGGAGTCGCTCCCTCGACCTTCCCACGACTCACCTTAATGATCAGCTCGATCTCCGGCACGTCGCCATTAGTCGTGCCGTTGTCGTGGCTCTCGTCCGCCATTGTCCGACGCTTTTGATTCGTCCGCTCAAAGTCAAAGGCACTATTTGGCGTCTCGAGGGCGGCCGCAACTTCAGCCGAATCACTAGAACGAATGCGATGGAAGCTCGCCGAACACTGACGAGGCGCGTGTCGCGCCACGTTACCGACGCTAACGCCGCTCGCGGCTGCCCACGAAAGCGCCGCCATCTTGGAGCGCGCCATCTTCCACCCGGAAAAGTTTGAATTCCCGACACCGAGTGCTGCAATTATGTGTCTATAGTAAATAAAATACCTTAAGTAATTTACGTAGATATTTACAGTAAATTACTAGGTATTTTACGTAACAAATTTCATACGGGATGTAAATTACATTAATACGGGGCTTTATGTTTTTGCAGTTCCTATTTCTGACACGCTTAAAATTCAAAATTTTCCATGGAATGTATGTAAAACTAGAATGTTGAAGCCTAAATGTTTTATTCTTAATTCATGTCATTATTCTTAATTCCCTTCTCTTTTTGATTAAAATGTTTATTCACAAGTGACGTATACTTTTACCACTTTGAAAAAGTGAGGTTACTGTACCGCCATCTTTGTTGTGGAATTTATTAAATATTTTACTTGGATTTTAAGTAAAATACTTCCCTTAAGTATATCCAAAATACGTCGAAGGGGGTTCAAAGGAAATTTTAGGAATCGTACAAAGATTTATTAGATTCGACGATGTGACTAGAAATATGATGTAAACATCGACTAGATGGGTAGAAAATATAGTTAGGCTGTGTATAACGTTTCCGAACTAGATCGTAGGACTAGATTGACTTCACCTTAATGTTAGGCACGAATGGGAATTTGCAGACGTGCTAAGCTCGTTTTCTCGCTTTCAAAATATAGAATTTCCATTTCAGTCGCGTTCTCACTCTTATCTTATAGACGATAGGTAGGTTTCTTGCAGGTTGTATTCTCTGCCGAGGGGTGGCATCACTGCGCAGTTAGAAGTGCATTTTTAGAATCTCATTAATTTCGCTGTGTAATCTCTTTGTTTGGCCGCGAGATGGAGATCTAAACCTCTCAACATTCTGACTCTGACTTCGTAATCGGTTGGTAAATTCCTTGTTGATTGCATTTCCCGAGAAGAGATGGCACTGCCATTCAGCAACCCGGTTCTTCGACTTGCCATTTTTGCTTCTATCATAGAGTATGTACCGACGTGGAATTCCTGTTTATTCAAAGGTTTCTGCGTGCCCTTTACGACAGACTTCATGAAGTCCAGTGCCACTTTACGACAGGTGTCGTAACCGGAAAGCTGGATACTTTTTCCGCGAACGATTTCTAATTGCGCCGGAGGAGGTTTTATCGCCTTATTAATTATCGCGCTAACGGACGAGGACGATCCTGGGAGATCTTTGAAAACCTTATTCAGAACCTCCTTCATTAGGTCCTCTTCGGTGTCAGATTCTCCTGGGAAAAATGTGAAAGAAATATGAATACTGATTTCAGAAGCATAGACAAGTCGAATCGATAAGAGTATTGCATTATTCGATAAACTAACTCACCTAAGTCGCTGGTACTGCCGGTCATGTAGGTATCGTCCTTTATTTCCCGCTGCAGTTCCAAAACTCTTGCGAGAGCTAGCTGCAAGTACTCACGGGTGTTTGGAACCTATTAAAATAAGAAAATACTGAAAACTGCTTAATTAAAAAATTAGAACTCTTCACAATACTCCACTCACCGGTGCCGAAGCTTTGGACTTGACTCTCTTCGATTCGTGGTCCTCGTCGGCTAAGCAAGGGGCCTGAAATTGAAAGTTGCTTAAATCGAAATCCCTGACATTCTTCAATATTTATATCACCGGTAATTCCCCTTACCGATGAAGATCTCTTCATTCTTTACCGATCACAGATGTAAATCAAGGAGTTACGTAAGAATCGACTAGCACAATCCACCGAAACCACCAAACGTTGAAGTCCCCGAATCACTATACCACCATCTTTATGAGATCACCACTCACAAAAGAAAAAAAATAACTTGTCCCAACCGTTAACATTAAATTTCAACGCACCAAAATTGCTCAATCACAGCCGGAGATTCATTATCCTTTTAAAAAAAGGGAGTAAGTAATAACCCTTCACTGCAAAGTAAACACGGCCTTTGTTCACGACAACTTAGTTGCTGATTATTGCGGTTTTGGTGGTTTTCGGAGCAGTTCCAATATGGCGCCCCCCGGAGTAAAAATGTTTGAACGGAGTTACCGCACCGGTGGTTTAATCGGCTCGCACGGACAGGAAACGCAAAGGTAAGGCGTAAAGTACTAACCGAACTGACGGTTTCAACGTTCTTTCTAGGTTAGGGAGGGTGCGGGAGCTGTCGCGTGCCCTCCATCCCCTCTACGAGCCCTGAAGAGTCGGACCCTCGTGCAGCTGCCAATCGACCCCCGATCGCGTGCCCCTCGGAACCTTCGACGTGTGTGAGTATAAATTTGATATATTGGCGCGTGCGTGGACGCATGTGCCAGCAGTAACGTACAAAATGCAGCCGGAGACCTGTATTTCAACTTAAACTTTCTTCCGACAATTGCGATTTTAGGTATCCTTTGAATTTTTAAGTACTCCCTTGTGAATTCATGATCACCATGTAGCAGTTATCAGGCGTAAATCAAGGAGCGATAATGAAATGTAAAGTAACTCTGTAAACATCGCGTGAAAATAGACTGTACTATCTAAAAAATGGAATAAAACATTGGAAAGTAATTAACATGAAATTATTTGATAGCGCTTCAAGTGTAACGCTCATCTTAGATGCTATTGATTTCTCGTAAATATATCGTCCTTCCATTTTTTTTTTTTAATTTACGATTATTTCCCTTTATCATCGTATCATTGTACTAATGGTATTATAATGTTATCATATTGAGATTGGATTTTAGGTGACGCAAATGGCGGTGTCGGAAGAGGACCGTTTTCGTCGTACGACCCTGAAGACAGTAGCCTGTATTCAATGCGCAGAGGTCACTAACAAAGGAGCGAGGGTGTTCACTCTGCTCCAACGGACTTCGGCATTGTACAAACACGCGTTTTAATGTGTGCGTAACAGAAAGTGTATACGCATCGCTCACCGAGAGTTGCGGATCCATATGACTTTAAACGCTTTTCGAACAACTTTTGTATATGGTAACTCATACTTTGCGTCGCTCTTCATTGTTTACGTTCGTTTTCGGTAATACACGGATAACTCGAGGATAACAAATGCATTTCGCCTGGTTTTGGGTAGACTGGACCAATCATGGCGTTAGACAAGGGAAGCTCGAACAGAATGACACTCTCCCGTTTTCTGCAATGGCAGGTCAATGAACCCGACTTTTCGACTTCTCCCGTAATGCAGGCACGTGTCCTGTAAAATGCAAAGCGTTCTTCCTCGTCGGCCGCATTCGCGCCGTTCGCGAGTATTACCAAAATGCAGACGAGGCCGACCCTCGTGGATTCCTTCGTCAAGTACGACACGAGGTGAGTCGGTCCTTTTGGGTCCTCAAAACTGAATCCTAGGCCATCGAGAGCCGATTTGGACGCTCCTTCATCAGGTCGAAATGCGTGCAGATTGGCTAAGCTGAAGGAGGAGTTGCTGAGGGCCAAAAGGGAGCACGACGGGCGAGAGCAAGGTTTGGAAGGTACCATCTCCGACGAATCAATTTAAGGAGATATCAAAGTGGCGTCCAAGAGGGTTAACCATCGTTTATGAAACTTTGAACTGGATGTACCGAATTTTTTCACACTGTGCAGTGCTAATACAGAGGCTACAAGGAAGGTCCTAGCACCTATGAAATTTCTATTTTTCAAAAATGTATTCTTGGGTACTTACAAAATTGTTTATAAAAGAAAAAAAAATATATTAAATTTCACGGGCATAAGGACCTCTCCTATAGCCTCCATATTCACGTTGTAAGGTTTTAAAGGACTCGGTACATCCGGTTCGGAGAAAAGTTTCATGAACGATTGACTCCTTAGGTGCCACTTTCATATCCCCTTAATGTATTCCGATTATCTGGTCGGTTATCATTGCTAGTTTGTGACCTTTAAGAATCGGAGGAAGTGAAGATGCAAGAGGCTGCGTGCCCAAAGTGTAGAGGCGATGGTGCCGAGACTAGAGATATTCCCCATATCACGGATCTCTGCCCTGCGGACAAAAAGAGGATCGCCGAACTCGTAGGGAAGCTCGCGAAGCAAGTAGACCTTAATTATAAGGCCTGTTCTCTGTATGGCACTTTAAGACTAAGCCGCGTGAAGACTCTGAAAATGCATGCGCATGATGTCGGAAGTGGTAGAACGTGTTGCTTTGGATTATAAACGGGAAGTCGCTTCTTGGCGGCTTGCTTCCGGTTATCTAAAATCAAGATAATCTATGAATGGTTGCTTGAGGTTTTTGCCCTTCTTTATCGGTTATTATTCGCCGTAGATGCACGCAAGAGAGAAATAAAGCGGAGTCGGAGCTAGCGATTTGCAGAGAGAAAAACAAAGCTCTGGAGAATAGATATAGGATTTTCTTGAACCGCCATGAGGACGAAACGAGTGCCTTGAAGTCAAGGGTGATTACGTTTCTTAAATGAATAAAGAACATATTTTGCTTTTTTAGGATGTACATAAACATAGGGAAAACGAGACTTCAAGGAATTACGTTGTTTCAGTTGTCGGATGCAACTACAAAGACGAACAAGTTGCAGCTACAGACATCTCATTCCCTGGATTTGTTGAGTCGACAGATTCAGATCCAAGAAACGCAATTTAAGGAGCTATCCGATTCCGTTTGGGTTTTGTTGCGAGAAAAGATGCAGCTACAAAATTTGGCAATCGAGAAAGAGGCTCGAGCAAAAGTGGCAGAGGCTAAGATTGAAAGAATGAAGGAAAAGCTTGAGATGGAGAAGCTAGTTTTCCTGAAGGAACAAGCGAAGAATCTCATTGTTGCGACCTACGACAAGTCTTGTCAGACTCGAGAAGATCTTGCCAATGCAAGGTAGTTTTCAAGAATAACCAGGTTTTCTTTTCTCTTCCAATATGACGTGCAACGTATTAGTTTAAGGGCTTCTGCAACTGCATCGAGATCAGATACGACTTTTGAAACGTGTTCTGAAAATTCGCAAAGTCGGATGCAGATCAAGCAGATCAAGAGCGAGGACGATTTGGATGCACCATCCTCTGAAGCGGCTTTGGTACGCGAATTGTTCTTTAAGCATCCCGACGTCGACGACGTTTTAAACATGACCTCTGTATTTCCGCTGATTCACACCCTTGATTAACGCGCCTTTCCTCAATCTTGGATTAAATTCTATTGTAAGTTGAAAGCAATGAAATTGTTCATCTGAATTTGTCATTATGTTCACTGTGATTTACCCTATTTCGATTCCGAATGGGTACGAGTAAACTGAAGGAGTTAATCAGGCTCGTGTATGATGGCGCCACTGTACCATAAACTACATCGTTTCTTTCTTCCATCCAGGTGAGAATATTTTATTGAAATTAGCTTAAAATGAATGACTCGTATGTACAAACTATGCGGCTTTATTTAATTGTAATATCGATTTCCCTCAACTCTCATGTATCTTAATATTTATAATAGTTTCTTAGGAGGAAGTACGTAGTTTTAAGATTATAACTTTGTTGCGCATACCACCAGCCGGGGATTTGACGGATTTGAAAATAACGCGAGCTCGGGATGAAAGTTCGTTGATTGTTATTTGCGAGGATAAAGATTAGGAAAGAAGGATTTATCGCGAGGTCAGCGATCCACGTTGGGGAGGTCGAACCTCTTCCTCTTATTTTCTATCCTCGTCCTGTATGACTCCTTCGGAGGAAGGGCCGGGAGGGAGAATCCTTTAGAATTCGGAATGACGAGGCCTTTATGTTGCAGTCTTCGAATGTAGGTCGTGTTCGGTATTACCGACACCGGGCCGAAATAGCAAAGCTCACGTTGCCGACTGGTGGGTAAAATAGGAACCCTCTCTGTTGGTAAAGAATCATTTTCTACGTTATCAACCTGTGATTTATCCGTAGGTCCTCGTGAATCCTCCGCCATGCACGTTTGCCATCTGAAAGAAATAGAGAATTATTAGAAAATACGTGATCGGTGCTCCAAATACCAGAGGTATACTCCAAGAAGATGCAATAATATTATACCTCCCAGAACTCATCGAGGATATTTTCGAGGAATCTTCCGTGGACAGGACACTCGGTCGTCTGTCCCTTTTATACACCAACGGGTTCGCCTCCATTTCCTTCGCAACATTGTGCTGCAACTCGACTAGGAATTTCTCAGCGAATCCTTGATGTATAAAGAGAGGATGGTGGAGTAAATTTGAACAACTGGGTCTCATGTCCGGGTCCATGCGTAAACACTGGATGAGAAAATCGAGAGCTGCAGAGTTCCACGACGGGAATAAGTTTCGAATATTTCGAGCAGCCGAAATTGGATTCACTTCGAAGCTGACGCGTCGTAACAACCGCATGTTGCCATTGCGATTCAACAGTGTTTGATGTTTTCCGCAAACTCCACCTAGAACAAGCGTATCGCACGTTTCTTGTCTATTATTCATTGGATACACCGGTAAAACGTTCGCTATTATTCCTTCCTTTTTGTTTTCAGAGGTGTGTTATGCAGATCATAGTGTTAAAAAGGCTCACCGAGAAGTTTCATGATCTGGAACAGCTGATCCATGTCACTTTCGCCGGGGAACAAAGGATCGCCATTGACCATTTCCGCGTAGAGACATCCGACCGCCCAGACGTCGATTGGTTTGCCATACCGCGGATCGCCGACCAGAAGTTCCGGTGCTCTGTACCATCTAGTGGCCACGTAGTCCGTGCATGACTCATTGGGGCCGGGCACGAAGCGGGCAAATCCAAAATCGCAGAGCTTGACGACCCCGTTGGGCGATACCAGGATGTTCTCGGGTTTGACGTCGCGATGCATTATCTGGGGGTAATACAGTATCGCTTAACAGCCATTATCGCGTTGACAATCGGACGTACATTAGTTCTAGAATTACCACAGTTATCCAAGTTAACAGGTTTAAGATCCGAGGAAACGTTACCGATTTAACAAGCCACGCGAGGCTTAACCTTAATTCCGTGTATGTTCGACATACATACATAACTTGGGCTTTGAGAGAATCACGCGGCTATTGGCAGAGTTAACCAGGGATAAAATAAGTTTTGTATAAGTAACATTTTATAAGAATCAGGGTGCGATAGAACATAAAAGAGAACATTATGTGCGAGATTTTTTGGCCAATTCCTTTACTAGCTGAGTACCACTGAATGAAGCATAAATGTTAAACGCGGCCTGGTTAATCTTATTGGTTGGTGAGCCTTCTGCTACTCGAAGCAACCGAGCGTTACAACACGCACTCGTTTACGACAATGCTGTCATTCATTTCAACAATGTGCATCAATGCATACACGTATACAAGTGCGCATTCACGGGTGACAATATTTTCGTCACGTCTGTCCAAGAAATGTTCAATTTATCGAGGCTATTTGCGTCATGAAATGTATTATTGAGACTAATTGAACTGTCATTCCACGCATTAATCTCGAATGGATTACGATTATCCACAATGGATTCTGAATAAGTTGAAGTGTCTTCTTTGCATAAGTGGTTCAGGTCATCAGTCTTAATTTTTTCACTTAAAACGTTCCTCTGGAATGATAGTGGCCTTTACGAGTAAATCTGAAGGAGAACATTGAAGTAGATAACAGTGTTCTCGATTACCACTCACGTGGTTGACGTGACAAAAATTGAGTCCTCGAAGCACTTGGAAGATGTGACGTCGAGACACGTCCAATCCGAGTCCACCCCCGGCTGCTTCTAACTCGTCCAAAACTGTATGGTCCAAATACTCGAAGACCAAGTATAATCTCTTCCGTCGTCGAAAGACCTCGATCATGTTCACCAAATTCTCGTGGCGCAATTTCTGCGAAACAAATACCGTCGAGGATTACAGTAACATTATGTAAAATTTTATATACAGAATAATTCAAAATGACGACTTCCGCTTTCGTCCTTTTCTCCGAGGACGAGAATGAATTCAACATTTTGAATCATTCTGTATTTAGAATTTAGACATTAAAATTGATACTTTACAACTACCTTCAACATTCTGATCTCGCGAAATGCCATTTTGCGTACATGAGCATCCTCCTCCGTCTCGAGGAACTTCTTTATGGCGACAATTTGTCCAGTCTCCTTGTGCTTGCACTTCATAACAACGCCATAGCTTCCCTCGCCGACTATTTCGAGATTTTCATATTTGTCCATTCTGCCGCCAGAAATACTGATAGTCCGCCGCGCGATTTTCGCCTTGCCGTCCGATAGGAACCCTCTAGACATGTGGATCGAACTTAAAAGGACCACCGAACTTCACCGACCTCTAAGTCATGATTAATCAATCTTTGCATCATTGTCTGATTATCCACTGCCTCTTTTTATCAACCGGCACTGCCTCTCGTGTTCGTCGAAAGCTCGATTACGAACTGCCTCATCATAGTGGCGTGACTGACGAAAGTTTACCATCTTAAGTAGAACTTTTATTCCATATACTTCGTAACAATCGGTTCAGCTCGACATAGGCATTATTTTAATCCACGGAACTTCGAATCAGAGCTCGAATATCGTGAATGACTAGGTTCTCAGCAAACAGATGCCCGCCATCTTAGGCGAATCACAAAACCAAAAGAGTCCCACCACGCGAAATGAAATACACTTTATTCCGCAACCGAGGAATTTTAACCACGATAAGTGGTAAAAAATTTATCTTCCGTGAGGAACAAACATGTCTCTGGTCGTGAAAACCCCAGAAAGCCACGGAATTCGAGAAAATGATCCAAAACACTATCCAAAACTTTTTCGTCTTTTCAAATTAAATACTGTATAATTTATCCAGGAACACTGAGTATTCTTGGGGGGAGCTTTGAAGGAGTGACTGAGTTTTACTTAATTTCGAACTTTCAGCTCAAAATGAAACCGGAACGGTCAGACAGCGTTCTTGTAAACCGTTGCCGCGTCGACTCGCAAGGCTCTACTGTTATGACAAAAAGACACCCCCCACACAGCGAGGGCTTCAAAGGACATCCTCTGATCACGCGCACGTCACCGAAAATACATTTATCGATTGTAAACGAATTACAGAGAGCGAGTTAAGCGTCCCTCGGCATTGCTTCCACCGGGACTGCCGTCTACAACAAACGCTAAGCAACTACTCATCGATGGATATCGATCCCGGCGCAATTAGTTAGGTTCCCTTCGTCAGCTTCATGGCCGATGCCAGGATAGAGGGGACCTCGTTTTCGATCCTCTGGAAGATATCAAACGATGACTTGCTGGGTAAAAAAAAAGTAAACTAATATTAAAGCATCGGGAACACGTACCAATGCTCCATACCCTGCCAGACAGACATGACCTACGCCAACCTCCCACTTATTATTCACTCCACTTAACCTGCATCGATCCGACACTGTTTCCACGGCTCATAATTGTTTTAAACAAGACCAGTTAGAGTGGATTGTTACATTCCCTTTACAGTCTACGATTTCTAAACGATTACTCATCGATTGATATCGACCGTGCAATTAGTTCCCATCGACGGAGTCTATATCAGGGTGGAGGGACCCCGAGAAAATCAGTATACAATATCGAACGACGATTTGAGGAAGAAATTACGTCTAGCTTAGTCGCAGAGCCCTTCACGTTAAATAAAAATGATTAAGGCTGCAGGTGATTTACGAGTTAAGGGGGATCCCATGGAAGTGTTTCGGTCGCATGGTGTGAAGCAAGTTTTCGGCCTTCCCTCTAAATAAGAAATCCGCTTCTATGAGCCTGGAAAACAGGGAGATTTATTTATGTAATTATATATACGCGTATACATATTTCTCTGCCCGTGGGTTCAGAAATAACCTTTGGTTTACCTTAGGGGAGAATAATGCTCTCTCGCAGCTACGGTCTGGTATATCGCGGAAATGTGGGATTGCTGTCGTGCGGAATATTGCCTGAACTTTGCATGCTCATCCTTGACCAAAGTTGCCCTCGAAGTTCATAGGTCGCGATACCAACATCAGGAAATACGGTAAACTTGCCGAAATCTGGATCGCGTAATTTCCAAGGGGGTTGTTAGGGGATTGGGACGGTGTACGTGACTCGGGATAATTAGTACAACTTCTGAAGTAATTGATAAAATCCGATAGCTTGACTGTCTTGCGAGGGAAGTGCTTCCTGGTGTCTTTTAAGATCGCCGGTGCACTGAGAACGTAGAAAGAAATAATTAGGCGCACAACAAAACTTATTGGAGATAGTTTACTTCTTATATCATTATAGCAATTGCCTAGGACAAAGGTAGTCTGCCTCCATGACTTTAGTAGAATCGTCATCGGTCGAAAAGTTAGTGTCAAGTAGCTCTAATTTGTACGTTTGAAAGACTTCTAACTCATGACGGTACACTAGATATTTTTCTTCATTTCTCTTCCTTTAAATTTCAGGTTAACGTCAGACTATCCGCCCTCCTTTAGTTAGCAGTCCTTGGAGGTTGTCATTTTTTTATCTTTTCCACTCCCAGGATGTACGTTCGTACATTCAGAAGCGAAGTTTCCTACATGTTCCCTAGAGTCGCAAATATCGGTTCGTTTTTACGGTAGCCCACGGCGGTCGATACGAAACGATGGGAGTTTATTTATAGGCGAGTTCGCTGACATGCTGTGAATAATGTCCTTCGAATCCTCCGAGGAAGCAACCCCCTGCAAATCGAATCTGCACCTGCAGGTGCATGACGATAATTGAGAAGGCGTTCCTCATTCCCCGAGCAGACCTTACGGTCTGGTCTAATTTCCCATTATTATTTGGTATGACTAAATCGGGCTTTATGGGGTTATACGCCGATAGGGTGATCCAGAACCAAAACATGCTTCCACGGGTAAACCGTGGAGAAAAATCTACATCATGGAGCTGGATTACCCATAAGAAAAGTGGTGGTACGGTAGCGGATCCTCGACAAATCGCTAAAGTACGGTCTTGTAGGTCAGGAAGACGCGGAACGAAGCAGGTACGTTAGCGTAGGTCAGTATTTAAAGGGCGTGGCTAGACTACGAGTCCGCTTGGAGAATGTCGAATTTGAGAAGGAGCCACACCGACCAGACCGAGTTCCTCTCGAACGAAGGCAAAAGCGAACCGAGACACGCCTGCCGGAGAGCAAGCACTGAAATAGACGCGCCACATGGCGGGGGTCTTTACCATTGTACATGTCTGTGTCAATGCATATACAGATCGTAGCAAAGACGGGCCGTGACAAGAAAACGTTCCATCAAGGCCAATACGTTTCGATTCAACGCTCTTCCCAATAGCTATTAAAAATAAGGCCGACTTAAATACTAGAGAGCGCGCGATAATATGTCCCACACGATTAAACCCAATTGTACCGTATATTGAACGTCATTGAACAAATGCCGGCCGAACCGCGCTCGACTTTATACAAGCTAAAAGGCGCCATCGTGACAAACCGCGTTTCCTCCTCTCGGGCGAGGAAAACGTCTAACATCCAGGAAACCATAGGTTTCCTAACCCTTTAGTAGGGCGCAAAATTCCGAAGCTATAAACGCGAAGCCCGCGAAAATGCGCCCTGTGCGACGGTACCCTACATCGAGGCAGGCGTCAGCTCCGTTAGCTATCTTAAATCTATCGATATGACGTCCTCGAGGTAAGGAAAGAGAAGCCTAGGGAGGGACGGAATAAACGCTGGAACGTCTCTTCCAGATCCTTTATTTTTCCCTCCCTTCTTCCGAGAGGTTCGCCGTGCGCGCGTACGTAGCGGGAGCGGGTATGCGCGTGTGCGTGTGCGGGGCACACGTGCGACCAGAAGAAGACGTTGACTCTCGCGCGTCTCGCCAACCGCGGAGCTGGCCGACCGACGGCGCGTAGTACGAGAATACACGCGTCGACGCTCGGCACGCGTGTCAGCCGCCGGTCCAGACATCGAGGACGAACGCCGAGGAGCGTTTCCGTTCTCTCCGGCCACGAGTCCGCGAGTCCGGCGCGACTAAACGCGATTAAACGCGGTTAAACGCGGCCAATTCGAGGAATCGCGACGTCCAGTCGGCCAGTCCCGAAGGCAATGCCTGTCCGGTCGCGCGAGGCCCGAAACTGCGAGGTGACCGGTTACCTAGAGGCGCCGCGAGACCGCGAGGTACCCCGAGTGCCCAGGGTGCCCGAGGGCCCTGCGAGACGGCGCCACAGGGTCGCGGCCCCAGGGTGCTCCGAGGTCTGAGGCGCGGTGATTCCCCGGGAGCAAGATGGCCGCCTGCCACCCTAGGCCTGCTCTGCAGCACTTGCAACACCTGCAGCTGAGGGAGCCCACGGCTGTGGGGCTTGGGGGCCAGCAGCCTCTTCAGCAGGCCCACTATCCTCCGCATCTCCTCAACTGGGTGTACCTGGCGATCGCCGAGCAGAGCCCGGCGCAGCCTCCCGATCAGGTGAGCGCCATCTGCAGCGAGTCCCTGGAAACGAGTGCAGATTTAAGTTTCGAGTCTGGTGTTTGTAATCTGAGGAAAGGATAGGGGGAACCCCTGAATGCTATGTGGTTTGATTCTTGAGGCATCTTCATGGGGGCGATGATATGGACGCGTAGTTGAGTGGTGAATCCGGGGTTTGAGCATAATCTATCGTGAAAGATGGAGGGTTCTCCATATTTCGTGGGTTTTGTGGCTTCCAGAGCATGGCAGGAGGATATATGGACGGAGGATGCCGATCTGACGGTGACGGGAAGGAGATTGAGAGGCAGAAGACACGGGACCCTCTCTTTCTCTCTCTTTCCTACAGATTATACGAAATAATTTCGTAGCGCAATATAGCGACGGGCCATTTGATAGCAATTGAGAAAGGATCGTCCCTTGTTCGTCGTCGCTTAATCTTATTTCAGTCACAAGAATATCAACGGAGTGATTGGGCATTCGGGGTCCATATATCCTACGTCCATGTTTTAGAGAGGGATTTGAAGTTTTACTGCAAAGGACCAATCCTTGCTTCATGGTCGTGCAGCGGCTGGGAATGATTGCGCCAGTGATTGGTTAATGTCTTATTCCTGAGTATTTCGGAAACCGTTGAATTTCCAGCGCTTCTGTAATTGAAAATCTGCTTCAAACTCTGTGGTAAATACCGTGAAACTAGATAAGGAATCGACTTGGTTTCAGAACAAACTTTTGCCAACGATATGGGGCAACTTTCCGAGCGCCGCGACTCAAGGCTACTTACACCAAAATGCTGTGAGCCCGTCCGGTCCTCTCGGGGCTGGAAGTCTCGCCGGAAGTATCGGTGACCTGGCCGAGCACTTCTCGGAGCTGGGACTTCTGGAGAGGAAGCCAACCAAGAGGCCGCCATCTACGTATTTGTGTCATCTGTGCTTTAAGAAAGGCCACTACATCAAGGACTGCCCACAGGTGGGAATCCCTTTAATCGGTCGATTTGGAGCGATGCCACTTTACCGAAGAAGTACATACACGTAATGGATCCCCTGAAAGCAAAACAAACAATAATGTACATACACGGGCCAAACCTCATATGCATGCACCCAAAAGCAGAGGGAAAGTTCGCCACGGTTTTTATCGCCCACGCGATTAGTTCGTACTTCCTACCGTCGGATTATCCCTCTACCGAGTTTCCGAGTTGTCCCTGAACTATGTTATTTTCAGAACGAGCCGCTCGAAATAGTTTAGATTACGTATACGCACGATAACTAAGACGAACGATTCGCTCGACTCCGGAGGCGGCCATTACACAGAAATGCGGCAAGGGTATACGGAATTGCGCATTTGCTGGAATTCGTTTCGACAAACGAAGTAGAAAAACGTAATTATCCTCAGGCTACTCCCGACTAGATGTTAGAAATTGAAACTGGTAAGCGACTGTAGCGCCATTTGCGGTGAACTACGTAACTACTGTTTCAAGTTTTTCCGTTTCTCCCAGAAGCGTCCTATTTTTTCTTCTTCTTCTAAAGTTCACCAAAATGAAATCGATCGTGTTCTCTGGCAAGTCTTCGAGTTTTATAACATCGAGTGGAGGGAACAAAAAATTATAATGTATGAAGTGGAGCCGTAAGTGTGGCTTAATCGAATCCGCCGCATGACGCATCGAGTACGGCACATGCTCCGTATATCGACGGGGCATCCTTGCGGTTCGCACTTGTGTGCGTATAATGGGAACGAAACGCGTGGCTCGGAACGCTCGGATCCATCTAGCCGTTCAATTGAGCGCTAATTGATGCAACAAACATCGCGTGTGTCCGGAGTATCCATCGTGACATCAGCTCGCCAAGCTTCGTTGGTTTGCCCCAATTAAATCCTCCAATTACCAGCCGCACCGCCTCCATCTCTCCTCAGATGCAAAATGTCCGGGATCGCGTCCGCAGCCTGACGCAAATTTGGCTAAAAATACAATAAGGTGGACAAAAAGGGTGCATTACGGTCAACGTTTAATTCTCTGACTCAGTTCCAAATTGGCGTCCGCCTTTATCGTGGGCCTTCCCTTGCATTGCCAAAAATCGTTGACTAACCTTTTCGGGGCTCCTTTTCGACGAAAATGAAAAACAAAACGTTCCTATTCCTGCTACAGTTGGAGAAATTGTAGTTTGTTGTTAACTCTTCGGTAAAGTGATCAGATGTTCTGTTACAAATGCTGTCCTTTTCTCGGATGGCGTCCTTCCGCGTTCCAAGGTGACCAAGATGTCCTCCTTGTCCTTTTGATAATTATTTAGACATACTTATCAAATTTCATTGAACCCTTTTTCTGGAATATAGATTTGAAACTTAATTTAAATATTTCTCCAATATATATACATGTCAGAGCAATAAGAGGTAAAGGAAAAAAATCAGGTATTCACTGGAATTGAAATTTTTAATTCCACTCCACTCTTCTTACCAAAAAACGCCACTGTAATGGCTTCCGCCTGAGTGGCATTTTTTTCTACAGATCATCTTCATTTCTTTTACCGTTTATGTACTTAAAGTAACAAATGAATATCGTCGATCCACATTGGGTGGCGTCAATATAGATAGACGGTGCAGCTCAATAGGCAAGATCCGCCATAGGTAGAAAGTTAAATACAGTGTTACCTCGATATACGAGTGCCCTAATATACAAGTGTTTTGAGATACGAACCGCCGAGCGAGCGATATTTTGCTTTGAGATGAGAGCAAGATTTGAGATACGAGGAATCGCACACTAAACCGCTGCACACGACACCAGCATGCGCCCCGCATGTTGGGGTCTTGTGCAGCGTCTTTGAGATACGAACAATTTGACATATGAACAAGGTTACGGAACGAATTAAACTCGTATGTCGAAGTACCACTGTATTCTGGTTCGGTGATGGGTTTTCAGGCGAGGCCAAAAGGCGAGGGCCTGACGCCTTACCAGGGCAAGAAGAGGTGCTTCGGCGAGTACAAATGTCCGAAGTGCAAGCGCAAGTGGATGTCGGGGAATAGTTGGGCCAATATGGGACAGGAGTGCATAAAATGCCACATCAACGTCTATCCTCACAAGCAGGTGAGTCCGGTGGCCGCATCGTCCGCCTCGTCGATCTCCTCCTTCCGTTACGTAAGTCTTCTTCAAGTCCCTGTAAAATAAACCCATACACGATAAGTCACGTCCAAGCCCGTGAGATCAGACTCTAAAGAAAGGATATAATACCGATGAGAAATCTAAATTCAAAGAGAAGCGGTAAGGTTCTACTGGCGCCATCTGTTAGGGAATTAGAAAAGCCTCCGACATGATGTAGCACACTTACATACATACATCACGCACACGACTACCTGACTTTTGTGTGACTTTATGGTTGAAATTTGAATGTTTCCAGCGCCCTTTGGAAAAGCCGGATGGACTCGATGTGTCGGACCAGAGTAAGGTCCATCCTCAGCATCTTTGCGAAAAATGCAAGACTCTGGGTTATTATTGCAGGCGTGTCCAATAGAGTGGGAACCCCAGCGCTGGTCACGTGATAAGCGGGAAATTAGAAAAGCGAACACTCACCGTGGAATTTGCGCCTTCTCGGCTGCATTCCGAAATTTGCGACTTCTTTTCTTAATTAAAAGGGAAAAGAATGGAAAAAAAAGAAGAATTAAAGGGAACCGACGAGAAACCGACACGGTCGATTTTGGAACAGGTCACGTGGAGATTGGCGCGAGTTTTAAATCCGGCGACGCGATTGGTCGACCCAAAGTGCGCCAACTTCGAAACTTCCACGCTCGGGAGTTGCGGTTCTCGTGCTTGTTGCGATTTGGCCTATTAATAGTATCGCTATATTTAAAGAAAAACAAGAAACTCGCGTACGAGGAATTCGCAAACCGAGCGGCCAGATCCTCCGTACCGAAATATCTTCTATAATCGTTTCCGATCGCGCGATCGACACCGTTCCCCTCTGAAATCTCCGGAAGGGAAAAAAAAGAAATCGACGACAGATTTCCTTCTACCGTTACGTCCGTTTAGCGAGTCCCTTTTCTACCATTTAAGAGAGGATATATATTATACGCCCGTTATATATATACGTCTCGAATGTCGAGAAAAATTCCAAAGCAGAGATTCGACGTTGCGGAACCGATATATATATATGTATAATACGTATATATCCATGGAAATTGTTCTGTATAAAGTGGCTCGAGTCCGCGCGTCTCTTAATATGTATAAATTAGCGTTGCCGACATTTCTACGTATCTGTATATATATACATATAGCTGTATATTAAAATGAAACGTAACGAAAAAAAAAAAAAAAGAAGTGAGATCTCTCCCCTTCTTTTCTCTTGTCGCAAGTCGACAGATCACAGTTCGTCAATTCTCACCAAAGTGCCATCTCGGAAAATGAAGCCATCGTTATCTCCGTTATATCTGTTATATACACACACGTACAAAGGGCCTTCACGGATCTACCAGTAAAGCCGTATTATTAGCATAAGCGCTATTAATATTAAAACGATTATTACCGTTACTACTATTATTATTAATAATAATATCTGTATATCACCGTGCCAAATATACAAGCCAAAGATACCGTGCTCGTATCTATTATTATATATGTATACATATATCACTCCCTCAGCGAATTTCTAATCGCTTTCCATGACACGCGATTGTATAACGTAAATATCATTATATAATACAATATACATAACGAATGTACAGTGGTCAAGGATTGGTTACGACGAAGAGGCGATCCGCGGTGGGATCCTCACTGAAATATGCTGCGGAGTTGAAAATAGTGGTGGAAGAGGCCTCCGTCATGACTGTCACCTGAAAGAGAAAGGATCTCCATCGATTGGAAATAGAGTACAACTAAGTCTGGTAGAAAAATCATAATTCTAGAACATATGATCGATTTTGATACTTACATTGGCGGGATTCGCAGTCCCTTGATATTGGAACTCTTGGTTCGGTTGGTGAGACGGAGGTTGGGCGTACACTCGCCTCGGCGACACCTGCTGGGAGTTCATTCGCTGGCTCTCAGGGTATCGATGCTGCTGGACTTCGTCTTCTATGCAAATGGAGTCCGAGCCTTCCAGGGTATACTCCTTCAACGTATACTCATTGGTCTCCATCTTGGAGGAAGCAAGCTGGAAATCGAAGACTCGCTGAGGGGACGGTTGAACGGCGACGGGACTGGATACACTAGGTGGCGGCTGGCTGATCAGGGTGATCACCTGCTGCGGTTCCTTGTTCTCCAAAACCAAGGAAGGTAGGGGCACGGCAACCGGCAAGATGCCAGTGGAAAGGATGCCTTCGGAGCCCGGAGAGCCAGACGTCGAATTAAGAGTCTCGTGAGTTTCCTCCCCAGCTTGGGAAGGGTTCTCCAGTTGCGGAGCTATGGTCCCAGCTATCGAAGGCTGCTGCTGGTCGACCAGGTTGATCACTTGAGGCTGTGAAGCCTGCGGAGAGGGTTGCGGTGGAGGCTCCGGGAAGAGTTCGCTCTTCAGATTGGGCAGAAAGACATCGATGGTCCTCCAGGTAGGAGCCCAGAGATTCGAGGAGGGCGCCAAGACTCCTGCGGAGGACATGACTAGCAGCATGTTCTTCAGGGATTCTGGAATGGCTTCGAAGAGCAGTTCGCTGTTGTCGGCATGCATGTAGGCTCGGAGCAGGTCTAGGACGGTGAGCCACAGAGGCAGGAATCCAGATAGCGTAAGCAGTGGAGTCAGGTGGTGGAGGAAAACCTTTGAAAGTAGCATCGCAGCTCGGACCCTGGTCTCTTCGACACCACTGGGATCGTTAGGAGCCACCGGCCCTAAGAGCTGGGCCAACAAAGGGAATAAGACTTGCTCCAAACACTGCGACCACTCCTGAGCCGAAAGTTGAGCTAGATCATGGGCTAAGAGAGTGCTTTGAAGGTAAGTTATTGCCGATGCTCTGACGGGTCTTCGAGAGTCACAGCATAGTCTTGCTATTCCCTGAAGAAGTGGCTTCCAGGCCTGGGGCCAAAGAGAGAATCCTTCGGTAGTACCTCCTTCTTCTGCCCACCATCGAAATACCTGAAAGCACGAGTTAAGATTAATCATCCCTGCGAGATTTCGGAGTACCAGGGTGTAGTTTCTAAAGAACCGAACAGTACTTGAGCGGTCCTGGTGTGAAGCGTGTGCATCAAGTCCAGAAGCTGTATCGGACTCTGCTGGTATCCAGGGGGCTCCTCCGCGTAGCTGTGAACTCTGCTCCGTTTCCCAGCGCCATGAAGCACAGCTTCGGCGAAGGTCCTTATGCAACGTACGCAGAGTTCAAAATTGAATGGCGTAACATGGGCGACGTCTCTGACCAGGAAGGTCAAACTTTCACAGCACTTCACTAGAGCAGCAGGATCGTGCGGCTGCAAGTCTTTGTCTAACACTATAATATCTGCTGCCACTGGAAGAGGTGCTTCGGTCCCTGTCGGAGAGACCAGAACCCACTCCGGTACAGGACTGATGGGTCTGGTGTCGAGCACGGAGACTCTGTTGGTTGACTCCTCCGGAGAAGAATTACCGGTCTGCTTTGGAACCAATGCTCCTGCTCCAGCACACTCCAGCAAACAGAAAACCACCTTCCAGTCCTCTGTACCGTGGATATTTGCTGCTCCAGTTTTTAGCAGCTCGAAGAGACCAAATGCTATTTGCCTAGCTAGTGGAGCAGTTGTTGCCGAGGGCAGATGAGTCAATGGCAGCAGTGGAGGCAACACCGTCCAAGCGAATTCCTCTCCTCGGAGAAGTCTGATAGCCAGTCGAAGCATCCCAACTGCTACTCTCTCCAGAAGGTAAGGCCTATTCTCTCGAGCCGTAGATGTCAACAGAGTATCCAGGTGACCTTGGACTATCTTCCAGATAGACATCACTCTGTCCCGATTCTGAATGGTCACTTCCAGGAGGAGTTCCAGCAGGAAAACCGATACGTCTTCATCGGTGGGGTTTGCAGACACCAGAGCACCCACCAAGGCCCGAAGAGATTCGACCTAGATATATAACCCTTCGTGTAAATCCCCCAAACTCTGATAGTCTCTAGACACCCGTAAAGATGGAAGTCTTTAAAAGACTAGAAAGTTCTAACCTGTAGGAATTTGCTCTCTTCCACGATCTGTTTCAGGTGACAGTTAACGATGCATTCAGTGGCCCTTTTTCGAGTCGTAGGCTCAGCTGGATGAGGCAACCGGGGAGCATCGAGGGCGATGTAAGAGTAAAGGCTCGATAAGATTCCCTGCTCCGCTGGAGGGGCCTTCGGAACTGCAGGTTCACGGATCAAGGACACCTTGCCGGAAGGATCGAGGAAATCCTCTCCTTCGGTGAAGCTGCCTGGCAGAAGTCTCGCCTTGTAAAGGGTCTGCAGACAGTCTACGATGTTCTTCCAGGAGGCCCTAAGAGCGTCACCGTGGAGGTGGGTGATCTTGAACAAGGTCCTCGTAGCCAACTGACACCTGCCGCTGCCACCTAGGTGGAGAACAATTTGCTCCGCCTCGCTGGCACTCACCAAACCGGTGAACTTGCAGAGTGTCACCATCAGAGTATCCAGATCGCTGCTCATTCCATAATGAGCACTGATCGCAGCACAGCTGGAAGAGTGAATGCACCTTGTCAATAATCATATTCATTGTTCCTATTTGAGTAAACATCCTCTGTTACATTTATACGCGTACCTAAGGAAAGCCTGAGCTACTCTGCGTTGCAGAGCTCTATCCGGCGCCTTGTCGTAGGCTCTGCATAGAGCTCCGATGATGGGAGCCCAGGCTCGTTCAGCAAGTTCTCGATCGACGAACTCGCCGGATTCTCCGACCATTAAATACGTACTCTCTGGTCCAGCTCCTCTCCTGAGTAAAACCTTCCAGAGGTAATTCTCCCTGACGAGTCCCGTGTGCTCGGCCGGCATGACTATCTCCTCACCCCTGTAAGAGATAATCACGATCATCCAGTGCCCACCTGGTTCCTCCAATAAAGAGGCGCCAATAACAAGGACCAACTTGATCGCCGTGTAAATCTCATCGAGCATGTCTTGGTCAAAGTCGGTGTCCCCGTTAACCTTCTTCAGATTCCTTTTGAACTCGTCGGCGGTCATGGGATTGCTCTGTCGTTTCACGTTGTAATTATGCTGGTCGACATTGAGCATAATCACCGCGTAAGCTAGGGTGAACGCCGCGTCCGCCGAGACGAATGGTTTTCCGTTGCTTTCCTGAAAGGATTCATTATTAATGTATTCCAAATACTTAATTGTCTATTAGCGGCAGGGAACTCACGTGCCAGTGGTCCGCAAATTTTTCCAAAAGGAGGGAAATTAACGGAGCTTCTCCAGGGAGTCTGAAGGACTCTAGATAGAGCCGGAGGGCCTGGTCGATACGAGTGCGCCGTAGATCGAAATTGCGAACGAAGCAGTTGAGGATGTTCTTGTTTTCCTTCTTGCTGAGGAATTCGCCGATGGCTTTCTTGTCCAGGCCTGGATTCTCGCGCAGCAGCTTGGCAATTCTCTGCGGGTCAGGATTGCCTGGAGTGCCACCGAGCAGACCATGCTCCGTAAGCTTTGCTATGCCTTCTCTGGGATTTTCATTGAACTTCTCCGTACCCAGAGCTAGCCACTGGACGAGGAGAATGACGTATAAATTAAAGCAACTAATTGTATTATATTAAAATATTATAACTATATTGTTAATTCTGAAAGTGTTACCCTTTTGTTGGCCTTCGTAACAAGAAGCTCCTCCCTTGTTGGAAGATTCTCCGAAGCACTGTGTCGAGAGGTTCTCCGATTGTCTTTGTAGCCTTTACATCGAGCCTCCATGCCAGAGATGAGCATTAACAGTGCTTCGAGGGAAACTAACTGCACACTATACATGCTACCAGTGACTGCGGAAGCATTCTACCAGGGTCAGAGATTCGAGAAATAAGACTGGGAAATTATGTGTAAATTATAATGCTATGAATAAATAGGATAAAGTACCTTGGAGAGCATCTTCATTAAATCTTCGTATAAGTTCATGGAATACAGTCCACAATCGTAATTTAAATACAATTCCGCTGGCAGTCCAGGTATTCTCCATAATCTGACGATGGCCTCTACAAACATGGAAAAAATGATTAGAAATATCAATATTTAGCATGGCTGAGCTTTAAAAAATCGTTGTAAATGATGGTTACATCTATAACTTTTAGTAGACTCGAGGATCGTACCCAGTGATAGTTCTCGTTGCTCGTAAGTTATCCTGTTGGATTCAGAATTCACTATCTCCATAAGCTTTGCCAAGTAATGCTCCATCTGGAATTTCAGATGTTCTCGTTGCGATTCGAAGAGAAGGAATGACACTTGGAGGTCTCCAGCGAGGATCGACAACCTATCCGTTCCAAGCAACTAAAAGTAAAAAACATTGAAAATGCAGTTCTGAAATTCGTTGTCCTGTATTCAAGGTGTAACCATAAATTTAATTGATCCATGAAGGGCTTCTTAAACTTGTTTTAAACGCTTACCAAAATGAGATTACGACAGAGATCATCTTTTGCCAAAGCAAGAAGTGAAGGGAATTTCGAAAGTGCATCAGCAGCGATCTCCAGAGCAACTTGCAGTAGACTCAGCCCAAGATGGGTCATCACTTCGGTGTTCTGTTTATCAATGGGATTACACAGAGAAATCAGAAACCGGAACAACTCGCGAACACAAAGAGCACCGTATGGAGCAAGCTGCTGCAACGGCATGAACCTGACACCTTGAGTGTTAACATATTCTTCGAGTGGTTCATCTTCGACTTTAATCTTTGGCAGTGTTGTCGCAGTACCTGTGCCAGAATTCTCCTCAATCGATAAGTCTTCTATGCTACCAACTGGAGAGCGGGCAAAATTTGAATTCTTGTACTCTTCGGTAGGACTGTCTGCAGCATTGCAGCTGGAAACCGAGGCTTGATTTTCTATTGGTACTGATTTAATCAAAGAATCCGTCTTTTCTTCATTCACGGTCTCACCTTGAGTCTCAGCATTCTCACTTTTTATACATCGTTGCGAGTCTTCCTGGTTAGAGGAATCCTCGATTTCATTGGCTTTGGTTTCGTCGGTAATCTCTTCACGCTTTGCATTATTTTTGACGTCCTGCTTTTTATCCGTATCGATATCCTCTTGATCCTTAAGAGATTCTGCCTTTGTTTCAGGTTTAGCTGCACTGGACTTTTCGATTTTTTCATCTTCAACTCTTTCCGGAGTACCTTGGTCCAAGGAGCCTTGCATGTCAACGATATTTCCTGCTGGTGTAATGGGGGTCGTAGCCAAGTGACCAGCTTTAATTCTTTCTACTGGACTCAATAGGTGAGCATCGGGTTCTTCAATATCTTCGCTAGTCGGTTTCGCCTTCGGCTTAGAATGAGGTTTGTTCTTCCTGTTCTTACGAGTGTTATCTACGCTGTTTGTTCTCATTTTCTGGAACCGTAATAAATACTCTTAGTTGAGGCACATCAGAATGCTCGTCGACGGCTGAAAGAATGCCTGTTGAGTACTTGCTTTCATGTTCAGAAGCATCCGAGTGTCTTCAACAAAGTGCGGTAGCCTGGTAAAAAGGTGTTGTACCATGTCCCGCAAACAGTGCTCAGCAGTCCTCCTGAGTAGCTCTATTAGACATTAAAATTTTCTTAAATAATGAATATAAAAAACAAGAATGTGTAATTAGCAATTCTTACCACTGAGTCTCGTCTCAAAGCATATCCTAAAGCAACTGAGCATTATTTCGCAGATGCTCTCGTTAGACAAGTGGTCCCCAGCTGGAGAAAGCATCAGGGCTCGTAGAACCTGGAGGACTCGCATGAGAACGACTCCATCTCCAGAAGCATCGGTTCCAACGAATCGTGCATGAGTTACAGCATCCGCAATGGCCTCGACGCAAGGTGCTATTGCTGGGTGATCAGGATCTGAAAATTGTTGCATTAATAATACCATTAACAAATTTTAAAGCCAATGCAATTTTACGCAAGCAAATAGCCAACATTACAACCCAGAAACATCCCAAAAAAATTAAGGAAAATTTACCAACAAGACCATAGGACAGGATCTTATTAACAGCCGATAATGCAAGACTAGTAACAGGACCAGTAGTTTCTTCGGAGCGAACAATTTCAAGAAACGGCGCAAGGAACACGCCAGGCTCCAGCTGCGACAGACTTGCCGCATCGTTAAGAGCATCCTTCAGGGTTGACAGTCCCTTCATTAAAGCATCCTGGTCCTCGTCCTGAAAGATCAGAGTCATTACGGACAATGTATACCAACACAACCATATAATTTACTTTTGTCTTAAAATAGACGTGACAACCTGTTCATTGTGTCTAAAAGGATTGATATCATCAACATATTCGATACCAATTCTTTGGCGGTATATGCCACATGGGTAACATGACTCGCTGTAAGCTACTTCGCGTGGTACTTAACCTAGAAATTACGGGCGATCGTAATTTAATTTACTGATAGCCAGTTAAAAAGTAAAAGAGTATATTAACCTGATGGGAGTGAGAGGACCACCGGGCGCCTCGCCGCATCGCCGTTACCAGGAGGCCGACCTCCCCCTCGACGACGTAAAGGCCGCCTCCTGGACAGGCCGTCTTCTCCGACCTAATCATCTTCGCCGGTTCATCTGTCTACACCATCTTCGAGGGAAACGGGCACGTCTTATGGCTCGATAACGCTACGTCAAGTGTCAAGAGCACCTCGATCTCTCAGAAGACTTCCAACACGATAGGCATTGGTTTACGCGTTCATATAGACGTGCACAACGCATCTAGAAGGCTGGTAGATGGTACCGCCATCTCGAGTGCGCGAGCTCCTATCAGGACTTGCGCCGCCCTTGGGGGCAAAAAACGGTGAAAGCTAACGTACGAAACCAGAGGGCAGTACAGGATGCGATCGCATGATCCTGCCCGTGAGCAATCTCCCAACTCATTTCAGGGGGTAACTCATTTCTGACAGCGATGAGTTGCGCTGCCACTTCGGGGTAGGTTAGGGTAGTGGTACCGATGGTAACTTGCCATAGAGATTAGTATCTCTGCTTACCATAAAGAGTAAATGTTGCTTGATAAAATAAGTTTTGCATTAAATTGAATGCAATAACAGCTAACAGAACTTTTGAAAACATTTTTTTCTTACAAGGAAAAGTACTGCTCCTTATAAGGTTAATCTGTTAGTTAAATATCTCAGATGAATCAATGCGAGAACTTTTATACTTAATGGAGAGATTTACATTATATTGTGTATATATAAGATCAACTATTTGAAAGATATGAACCAAAGAATGTAATGTATTTAAACATGTACCACATTAATAATTAATGACTATAATAACGTTGAGGTAAAACATAGCTTAAGTTGAATTTCAAGCTTGTCGTTTTGCTTGATACAGCACAACTATAACAGGAAATGTAAAGCTGAATCCAAAACTAAGTGCAAGTACTGTACTGAATTTTTTTACATTGCGAGTGTCGATCGGAAGCACCTGGGGAATAAATTAGTTTTCTGGTTAATTTGTGTTTAGGAGGAACGGTTTAGTTTGTCATAATCCTCGAGATTATGTTGACTATAAGCAATTTCTTTAAACATAGAGATATGCACACGGACTGGATTTCTTACCTCGTGAGGCATTGGGCCTGGTAGTAACGCTCTTATTTTTGCAATATCTGTATGAGCCATTCTGCTCAATATGTTAATGACAGGATTAAACGTTCTGCCACTTAAACGAGTAATAAGCATTTTTCTTGATTCTCTGTCTATTAAGGAAGAATGGTGTTCTCCGATAAATCTTTCCCTTGGTTAACAGTTTTTTTCACAAATGTGAAAGAAACAACAAAACATCAAGTTTTGTTACAAATGCCTAATGATATGCCGTGTCAACATATGTACAGTGTATGGCATTGCTTCATTGTGTATTACTTATAATTTCTGTTTACTATGTAGTGTACTTGAGAAATGGGAAAGGTTTCCTATGGAAAGAATTCGAATGAAATTAAAAATATGCGATAGAAACGGACGGTGATATCTTTTTTGAAACTGTGCTTAAAAAATTATTTATTTTCCGCAAACGTTAATCTTACAAGTTTGCTTTAAAGTACATGTAACCAGAAAGACGAAAGTATTCACTGAGAAATCGGATATACATACAAATACATACAATCTGGTGGTATGTCATAATTTTGGAAAAGTAAATTAATCACTTCGTAGCAAAAGGGGTAGCATTCTCTGAGAAATTCCGTGTAAGGATGTTTCACAGTTTCTACATATTTAATAAACCTAATATACCACCCTTCTTTTTTGTACTGTGCACGCAGCAATATGTACATGAAAATCTCCAGCCTGTACGGAAAGAAGCTCCCCGGGTAAGAAGAGCATGACTCTTTCGCCTTTAGAACTGTAGTTCATACTTTTCGTAGTCTCCACTATTTCAAGTCAAACTACTTTCCCACGTAACATCTGTGACCTTCTTTAACACCTAGCCTTACGTATATAACTACAAGTTATGTACAGGTCTTTCAATCGGTTGCTATTAAAATATGAGATGTCCTTCTGAAATCTGAAAAACATACCAACCAAACTATTCGTTCCAACAAGAAATCCACTTTCCTGAAGTAGTTTCTGTCTCTTCGCCGCCAGGACTACCTTCGACGAAGACTATTTTAAGTTAAAGCACTGTCACCGTTACTATTGTTTTCAAATTTCAGCAAGGCTCTCAGGTTGTGTAGCTACATTCTTAGCTACACCGAGCAAATGTACAAAACGTCCTTCGTAACCACATTGTCTTAAAAGGGAAGAGACTCGTAAGTGTTTGGCGGGGCATAATCCCAGATTATGTGTCTTAAGAGTATCGTACAAAGATCAGGATCAGTCTCGGTGTTTCCTTCGAAATTCTAAGGAATTTAATTAGATTCCCTAAATGAAGCTTTTAGAGCCAGGGGTGCCAAGATGGGTCCATCCGACACAGATTGTCATGGCTGTTCGCAGCTGCGACAAGAGTGCTGACTTTGCTGTCAGTCCCGTCAAAGTTAGCCAGGGAGTTCAATCTAGTGACAATGGCCGTGACAGCACGTGTCACCATTGTTATAAGAAGTTCGCCTTTCATGTCAGTCGGAGTTTGCGAAGCGTTCTCTGAGTCTTCCTGTTTTTTATTGTGGTCGGCTATCACCTCGTCTCTCAAAATCGCCCTGAGGATCGTGTGAACTTTGAACGAGGGTTGAACCAAGCACCTCGCAGTGGCTATGGCCGAAGCCGTCAACGGGCCGGATACCCCTAAAAAGAATACAAAGATTAAAAACAACGTTCCAGAAGAAACTTCCTATCCAAAGCGAAAGTCCGTCATTGGAGCCGCTTACCGGTACTGGTCAGGAACTCCAAAATATTCGGCGTCAGTCTGAAAGGAACCGGCCTATTCGCATCCAACTCCCCGGAAGTGTCGTCAACGTCGAATTTGAAATACGCTATGTTAATTAGGCCAGAATCCTGATGTACATACATCATGTCCGGGTTCAATCTCGTTAAGTGTAGGACGTATTCAGCGAAACACGCCAGAGAAAGTTGTAATGTAAACTGGAATAAATCCCAAAGTATATTAACATAAACATTCTTGATCTTTAGCTATACAGGGCGTCTCAGAATTCGCAGAGTGTTGGCACTAGCTAGTTCGAATGTTGTCTTACAAAAATAAGTCACCTATAATTATTGAATAATTCATTAAATCACCAGAGGGTAATGTCGAAAAGGAACTTTCGACTTAAAACTGCGTTAACTTTTATCAGTTTCAAGGATTACTACGAGTTATGGGTCACCCTGTATATTCTGGAAGCAACTAACTTAGTCCTACCATTTTCCTAAAAGTCCAGTAGTCCGTGGCCCCTGGGAAGGTCTTCAGGGCCCAGTCTTTGAGCATGTTCCTGGACACCATGGTGGTCTGGACTTCCTTCAGAATATCTCTTAACACTTGGTGGCTGGCTTGAGCTCCTCTTGCTTGGACGGTGGCTAATCTTTCGTAGTACCTGGCAATGGGTGCATCGTGTTCTATTCCTAACTTGGCGCATCCTTGTTTGTAGATGTCCAGCAAGGACACCGAGGCCGGGTTATCTTCCACGAGCCTCATCTGGGGAGAGACCGCAACAACCCTGGGCACCGTGAAGTGGAGGAATCTCCTGGATGTTTCCTTTTGCTTCGCCAGATAGTGATTCAACATCCTAAGTAACTGTAGGACCCGTTCTTCTCTACGAGCGTCCCCGAGTCCTGCATCGTTTACGACTAGATAAGGATAGAGCCTTCCATTGTGACCTCTGATTCGAAGCCTGCGAGCTGCAGTGTTGTGTCTTTGCACTACTTCGACTCGAGGCATGAACCTTGCGATTCTCACGTAGTAATGGGAATGCTGTAAAATTCAAGAAACGTTAGAAGCAAGACCTGAGATTTTATCGGTGCAATTTTAAGGATTTCTCCAACTCCCTTACTTTAGGCAGCAGGAACTCTCCAGGCAATTCGACCTCTGCCGTTTTCAGGCTGAAGTTGCTGAGGAATCGGCACTTCTCCTCTATCAGGAACGACCTGAAAAGGGAGAAATTTCTGTAGTAAATGTTTACTTTAACGCGTACAGATGTTTCTCCCACAACCTACTTCGGCAGCTGTTTCGTCTTCCCCTCCAGGATCTTTATCCACTTTTTCAATTTGTTAATCAAATTGTGAAGCAACCGTGCCCCAGGCACGGTGAAATCGAAGTCGCTCGTGAACTGGCCTTTCATCTTCTGGAAAACAGGATCCTGAACGGTGGCCTGGGCCCTTCTAGCCAAGGATTCGGAAGCTGCGGATCCGAAACTATTGTTCACGTTCTGGGAGGACGATATATTCTCTGCAAAATGAATATTGAAGTTCGTCGATCATCGAGCGACACCACATAAGTCACAGTGATCCTGAATCTTGCAGACTTACGGGCTCTGATTTCCTTACCTATCCCAATGCCAAAGGTAGATACGAGTTTTTTCACAAAGTTCAGCGTGTGAGGAGTGATGGTCGCCTCGCTGACGGCTCCACGGTTTTCAAAGGCTATCGCGTAGCACTTGGCGAGACCTTGTCTGAGTTGCCGAAGAACCTCTTCGTACCAAGTCTCCCTGAACCATACCATCTGGGAACAATGTAAGTAAAGCGTTAAACTTTAACAACATATGTAACCAATACGAATACTCTTTTGAAGGTGCAATCGAGAGGCCTCACCTGGTCCACGATTCCTTCCAGACTGGACAAAATCGTAGGATGTATGTCCCTCTGCATGTGCATGATCTTCGAGCACCTCCACATAGGAGGAGTAGCTCTGATGGGCCCAGTTTCCGGGACTCCTTGATTTTGAGGACCACCAGAAGTTCCAGTTCTACCTTCGGTCCCATCGTGTCCCTTTCCAGCAGCCAACTCGGCGCTCTTGTACCTCTCCCTCTGCTCGATCTTCAGGGTCAAGTACAACGTCCTGATGGAGAAGTACACAGCTTGAGGGAACATCCGCCCAACTTGGCTCAACAAGTTGAGAATAACGTTGCCTTCGTGCCTGACCAGGCACATCAGGAGCTGGGGGATCCAAGGTAGCCACTGAATGGGAGGAACCCCAACGGCGTACTTATCGACAGCCTCCATTAACGAGAACTTGTCGTCATCATAGGTCAGCAGCCAGAGAACTTTAGCGAGATACTTCCTGGACTTGGACTCGTTCTGATGTCTGCAGGCATGAAGGAAGCAGGTGATGGCGGAAACTCCTATCGAGATCTGTCTGGCATCCCTGGTAAAGATATGCTCCAGATAATCCCCCCATAAGGCCCACGCCTTGACCAAGGTATCATGAAGCTGGACCGCAGCGGAGAACGCCTTGTTGGCGTCGTCGGACCTCCCGATCTGCGACAACAGCATCCCCTTCAGGGCGTAGAACTCGGCAGTCATCTCCTTGGTGAAGTACTTCAGGTTCGTGGACTCGATGACCTCGAGACCCTCCTGGAGTTCGTTCTTCCCAGTGACCGAGGCCATTTGCAGGTAGCACTTGACCTGTTGCCTGATCTTCTGGAAGCAGTCGACGATGGGGACACTGGGTATGGTGTAGATCCTAGACAGGGAGTCCAGACACACCCCGGAAAGATTGTGTTTCCTGGCGATCTTGCCGAAATGGATGATGGCCTGTGCCGAGGCATGGACCCCCAGCATGGAGTGGTTGGTGGTCTGATCCTGTTGGGCGTCATAGTGGCTGGAAATAAAGGTATAGTGATGTTGCCGCCAGGTGAAGATGTCGGACCAGTGGCTGAGGTCATCGGCTATGACCGGAAGTCTGTTTCTCCAGGTCTTGACAATGGCCTTCATGTCGTGGAGAGAGGAGCTCCTGCCGTGCAGCAGACCCTGGTGGATCTGCATCGCCTCCTGCAGCTCCATGATCTGCTGAGCAGCTTGGAGCAGCGGTAGGTGGATGTGGCTGACTATATGAGGCAGTCTCCTCCATTCTCTCATGCAGAGACCGGAAGCTAGCTCGACGTACCTCTCGACTGCGCTCAGATGCTGATCTTCGCTGTGGCAGATCGCCAAGAACCCTCTGTACAGATTTACCTTCCAGGCCATCTCTTTGGGGCAGTTGTGCTCCACCTGGGCCAGCGCTTCCTTCATCATGCTCCAGTTTGGGATCCTCCAGGAGCTCTCGAGGATCAAGAAGGGGTTCTTCTCCGCTTTCTTGCTGCCGTAGTCCAGCAACAGGTCCCACTGGTTCAGCTCTTTGGCGCAGCGGATCCAGTGCTGTTCCCAGAGGATGGCCTCTCTCTGAGTCTTGAAGGGTGCCGGAGTGGTCACGTAATCCTGCTTAAATTTGGTCATGGCCACGTCGTAGGCTCCCTGGGCCTGCTCGAAGAATCCTTGCTGCTCCAGGGCCGTGGCCTGCAGGGTCTCCTTGTAATGGGCGTGCTTCTGCCAGAGGCCGGACCACATGTCCTCCTCGCAGAGCAAGGAGTACATGTCCGACAGCGAATCCAGCACCTCGGCATGAGGACTGTTATCGGGTTCGAAGTCGTAGCAGTCGGACTCTCTTTTATTTCTGAACTGATTGCCGCCATTGTCAAAGGCCATCTGCTCCAGACTCAGGGTCATCCTGTGCCAGAGGTTGTGGGACCTCCCCAAGTACTTCATCAAGGCTGGCCTCATTGGGACCTGGGGGTCGCAGTGTGCTAGGGCCTCGACGAATGTCGCGATGGCACTGGGATGACAGTCCTTCTGGATAACGTGAGTGCCGCTGCACACGAAGGGAACCATTTCAGCGATCAAGGTGTTGTGCTGGTGCTCGTCCAGGATGGCCCAGAGCCTGGGGAAGGTGTCCAGCCACACTCGCTCGGCCAGACTGGTGTCCATATGGCACAACTGAGCAGCGGCATTCAGCAGCTGCTCCGTCCTGATTTTTCTGGCATTTTCCAGGAACTCCCCCTGCTTGGCTATCAGCTGGGTCAGGTTGGCCTTCCGGCAGGTACCGATCTCTTCGGGGACGGTCGCCGGGTCCACATTGGATAGGTCCAGGTCCAGGATATCGTCCTTGACGTCCCCGGACTCGATCTCCTGCGGTTCCTCCTTCACCGAGGTGTAGATGACAAAGTTCTTGTGGTCCTCGCTGTCGGCCATGTTTATCACCGAAGTGATGCTGGATAACAGTGTGTCCTGATTGGACATCTGGATCTGGGTCGTGGAACTGGCCGTGACTATCAGCAGCTCTATGCACTGCTTTATCCAGTAATGGGGCCCCATCGCGTCCCAGCTCTGGCTGCAAATTATGTACAGTAACCTGTCCGGCAGTCTCCTCCTCATGGACCCGTCGAACACCTCGAAGAACTTCGCCCTTATCTGCGGTTGGACGCATCTCAATCCCGAGAGGAACGCCGGCTCCAGCTTCGACGTCAACTCCGAAGACTTCAAAGTCTCGTCCCTGTAGACGAAGTTGACCAGGTCCAGGAACTGCGCATTTAGCTCCAGGTCGTCAGGGAACCTCTTCTCCACGTACTGCATCATCTTCACCAGAAGAATGGACTTTTCTCGAAGACTCGGAGCCTGGTTGACGGCAATGGGGTTCTTGTTCTTCATCCACTCCTCCAGCATCTTGGTGATGGCCTTCATCACCTTGATGTCCTGGGTCTTCTCGATGAGGCCCACGAGGATGGACCCTATGAACGACTTCCTCATCTCCACCCCCATGACTACGACTCTATTTTTGACCAGGTCCAAACTCAAGATCAGGAGTTCGCTGCCGACAGGGTTTGCCTCTGTCTGTGTTGGATGAAGGTGATCCTTCGCCATCCTGTGGAGAACCCTCATAAACGGTGTGATCAGCCTGTCGATGTAGCTCTGATTATTCGTGCAGGCTGCCTTCAGCATCATCAGGGTACCGAACAAGGTGCTAGGGCTTGCCGAGGTGTTCTTCTCGTACGCGGCAAGCCCGTCGAAGATGAACTTCCCAACGGTAGTGTACAAGGTGTCCAATTCCTCGTACTTGGACGCCACGGTGGAAGATGTCGGCTCCGTGGGGAAGATCGTCATCAGTCTAGACAACAATCCATGGACCAGTCTGATGACCTTGGTATTATTACTAGCGATGCAAGTCCCGAGTCCTCTCTGAAGAGGCTTGAAACTAGCTAGGATCTGCTCTCTCTTCATGACCCCCAGCAGGAACGTCAGCAACTCCAAAGCAGTGCAGATGTTCCCATAATTAGGCTGAGCGCTGTCCACGCTGGCGAATACCTTGTCCAACCAAGCCAATTTCAGGTCACAAGTTTGGGGCCACACGTCGGGCTTCAGGGCCATCTTCAGCAGCGTTACGCATCTCCTGGACAGCTGTTCTCCAGGGTTTCCCTGCGTGGTAGTGGCATCGTTTACCTGGCAGGCCAATCTCAGAAGGAAATTCAAGATGGCGTCGGCATGGGCCCTCTCTATGGGTTTTGTCGCACTCGGTTCCATCCTGGGAGTCACAGAGGGAATCGCGGCGCTGGTCGATGGAGCCTGAGTAGCCAATCTCTTAGTTCCAACGTTATCATCAGGAGCTGGTCTCTTCGGGGCCCCCGTCATGGTGCCGGTTGCGCCTCCGTTGTCGGCGTTCTCGGCTTCGTCCTTGATCCTGTGGAGTTCCCACTTGATGATGACCTCGGCCAGCTCGACGGCTAGCCTTCTGTGCTCTATCGTAGCAGTAGGGCTGAACCCCAGACGTTGAATGGAGTTGACCATGTGCTGGACCAGGTGGTGCCTAACCGGATAATAGACTTTGTAATGGCGAACAACTAATTGCAGGATGTGGAAGAGCTGCTGCATCGAGTGGCCCTCTTCCACGATGATCTTTTTGGTCCAGTGGGTCAGCATGGTGTTGCCGTCCTCCATCCTGACTGGCATGGCGGGGGTAAGGATTTCCAGGGCCTGCCTGACGACGTTCCTGGCCTCCACCGCATGAGCCTTCAACAAGCTGTGGAAGACCTGGAGGACTATCCTCTTGTGGATAGCGAATTTCGCAATGATATGGCTCAGCAAAAGGTGTCCATGATACCTCGTAGCTGGGTCTACGCAATTCTTTCCTAGAAGACAGGGCCAAGCGAACGTCATCAGCCTCCTCAGCTTGTCTCCTTGCCTTTTGTTAGTCACATCGTGAATATGTTGAGAAGCCTGCTCCACCAACAGGCAGGAGAACTGCAGCAGGGATATCCTGACGCAATCTGCCGATCCGAATGGGTTGTCGGGGTCTATTACTTTACTGATGAAGACCGACACCACATTTTCAGGGTTGTCCTGATCTGGCATCGGTGCACCGCCCACCAATTTAACGCCCTCGCCCCTTTCGAAGCTGGTAGCGAAACACGGGATGATGATCAGCTGGAGCACCTTCGCTTTTAGCTCCTGGGACATGTTGTTGGTCGGGAAGTGCTCGACGAACCTGAAGAAGGCACTTCGCTTCCACTCTACCGTGTACTCCTGAGCCACTGTGTTCTCCAGGAAGTCCCTGAGGAACTGGAAGTCCGGGATGAATCTGTCGCAGGTCGCCCTCAGCAGCTGGAACAGCAGGTCGATGTCGTTGGGGTGGTGCCGGAAATAATGGAGCAGGATCTTCACTATGAGCTTCGGTTCCTTCCAGTGGCAGAAGTCAACGCTGTCCACCTTTTTATGCAATGCCTGGTACTCGTCGTTGCACCAAATCTGCTTCAAGGCAGAGACTAGTTGGCTTTGAGTCGACAACCACTGCTCGTCGAATTTGATCAAGACCGAGACTATTCTGACGGTCTGATGCTGAAGTTCGCTCTTCTCGTTGTGGTTCAGGTTGGACGTGGTCTGGGAATGGGCCAACAACATGGTGATCAATCTAGCAGTGAGACTGTGCAGAACATCCCTGAAAGGTTTCCCATCTTTATGCTTGATGAGGAACTCCAGGTACCTGCTCCACTGTTGGTCCTTAATGTTGTTGTCGTGTAAAAACAGATTCAAGGTTTCCACAGGGTACCTAAGCAAGAACCTCATTAGCGGTATCCTGAACGGGCTGGAAGCCTCCACCAGCAGCGACTTCTCCGTCTGCAAGACCAGCCTGCAGAGGACGTCTATAAATTTAGGGGTGGCCGCAGGAATCTGATGGAAGATCCCGATGATCGTGGCGATCTTCTGCTCGTTCTCTCCGGACCTGGAGACTCCCTTGTGGGCCTGGATCAGGTTCTCCAGGAGCTTCTTCAGGTGCTGAAGTAACTGTTCGCACAGGGTGATACTGAAGGTGCTGGGAAACAATTGCGTAAGGTAAGACAGCCTCTTGACACAGTTCAGGCTGAGGTTCCTGTGATCCCCCAGGGTCAGAAGCATCGGCCTGATGATGGCGTGCACGGACTCCATGTCGATCTGGAAGCCGGCGATGAACTTTTGCATGCATTCGAAGGCCGCCTCCTGCAGTTCAGCTTTCGGCTTCTCCAGGGCCTTATAGAGCACCTCGAAGATCTTCTCTCTACACGCCACGATGTAGTGACACGCCGCAAGGGCTCTCAGGGCACTCTTCCTGAGGGGAATTAAATTCGACACGGACTTATAGCACGGAAGTTTGTTCAGGTTCGCGTCCTCAGCCTCGCTCAAAGCTAACAATTCGTGGAAGAAGACCTTATGCTCCATCACGGTTAGGTCTATGGTGAACAGTCGAGGCGTCAGGGTGGTGCAGAAAGTGTTGCCATCCATAAGTCCGATCTGCGCGTTAGCCGGCTGATGCCGCAGAAGGTGCTTCTTGGGTGGGATCATGTCAGCCAGGACTTCTTTGTGAGGTTCCATGACCTCGGTCACGGTTTTGTTTTGTATTTCTCCTAGAAGCCTTAACGAGGCCATGGCCTGCTCCCTGACCATGGTATGTGGCGAGGTCACTTGGCGAACAAGCTCGTGAGTGACTTCGTAAAGGCTTTTGTTTTGGGCTTCGATCAACTCCGGGGATCCGTCCTGGATCCCAGGATCCACGCATACTCTCAGCATTTTTTCCAGGTTGGCCTTGGCCATGTCTATGGCTCCGTTGGATACCTCCCCGGTTAGGTCCATCATGACGAACATTAGCGCTTTCAGGAAAACGAACAGATGCCGGAGTACCCACTTTGTGGCCATCCTCTCGAAGAGGAACTTGATGGCGATGCAGCCTCCTAGCTTCGCGTACCAGGCTCTCTCGTAGCAGAGGGAACACATCCTCTCCGCCAGGTACTCCATCAGTGGCAGTTGGCAGGCTCTTTCCTTAGTTCCTAGGATATTAGTGGCAGTCTCTAGGATGAGGACCAAGGCTAGATGGCCAGGCTTACAGAGTTCCTTTTCCTCGTGGCCCATGATGACGGCCAATGCGTCCACGATGACCAGAGCATCCTGTCCCTGGATCCGCGGTTGACGTCCCGTTAAGCAGAAAGGCCCGGCTTGTTGGGCTATGGCTACCATGGTGTAGTGCCTTACCAGAGACACCATCGTCCCCAGGACCAAATGCCTCAGTTCTTTAATGGCCGCGGCCACGAACAGCCCCGTCAGAGCCGTCTGCTGGACGTTCCTGGCCACCGAGTCGGAGCACTTGTAATGCGGACCTTGTTGATGGGGGATCTTCCCCTCCTTGAAGCTGGGGTGCATGAAGAGCTTGTACAGCGTGGCTCTGTCGTCCTCCAACCTCAAGGATGCAGCTAAGTAGCAGTTGATCACCTCCCAACATTGCCTCCTGTAGAACGAGTCGGTGGAGTTGGACTTCAGGGCCGTGAACGCGGTCTCGATGACCTTCTCGACTGGGAAATCTATGGGCTTGCTGGGCTCCTGGAAATAGGCTACTATAGCCGGAGAATTGGTCTCGCGATCGTTGTACTCCAGTTTCTGAGGCTCGATCATCATCTTCCTGTTCCCACCTCCAAATTTTCCTAATACTCTGAAGGCTACATGGGCGACCTGGTCCGTTGGGTTTCTCAAGGTTCTCCATAAAGCTTGCATCAGGTCAGCCCTGACCGGCTGGATGTGCTCGTACAGGAAGTCTGGCTGTAGGTTGTCCACGCATAGTTCTAGGGTTCTGAGACCTTGACTAACTAACGTATGACTTCCGTTCAATGCCGAGACCAAGGGGTCCATCAGCATAGGTAGATACGGTAGCAGCGAACTGAGTCTTACTGGCACTGTAAGACACAGTTCTACGAATAGATCTTTCATGTGTTGCTTGTGGAGGCCCGATTGGAGCCTGTTCAAACCCTCCAGTAGGTTCGGCAGGAGTGGTAGGAATTCCTGATACAAGAGATCATGAGACCCACCGCCTATAGACCTAAATAATGCTCGCAGGAGCAGGAAGTAATTGTACGGTTCCTTGGCGGACATGGCTAGTTCCATGGATCTGTTCACTATCTGGTGCAGATGCGGCCTTAACATGTGTTCATTCTCCGCAGGGAACAACGATACACTGCCAAAGACGAGTTTGAACAGTCTGAGGTAGAGGTTGCTCCTTTCCACGTTAGACCCCATGTCGTCCATCCGTTCCAAGAGGTACTCGACCAAGACCGTCGCGAATATAGGCGACGTGGTGGGGTTGGCCAGAAAGGAGTTCCCGACGATCTGAAGGGCGCAGTTCTTGAAGATCCTCTCTACCATGTAATCGATCGTAGTGGAGAAGATTTCCTGGAAGGTCTGGGGATTCATCATGGAGAAGACCCCGCTGAAGTGCTCGAGCACTTCTTTTTCCTCTTTGGTCCTAACCGTTTGGGGTTGTGCTGGTCTTCCAGGTTGGGCAACCGGTCCTACAGCTGGGGGGCCGATCGTGTAGATGTCCAGAGCCTGAAGGGCCCATTTGACCAGCCTGATAAAGACCAAGGTCTCTTTAGGCTGGAACTGTTTGGATTGAGCCACCTCTCCGGACTTACAGTTAGCGCAACCCCAAGTTATGGTCTTGACACCGCAGACCAGGGTCTTAACTAGACTCCTGTAATCGGCGACGTTGTAATTCGATGCCTGGGATGCCGGGAATCCGAATTTTGACTTTCCAGCGTCTTTCTCCTCGTTCAGCTCAGCAATGGTCTGTTTAATGTCCTCGGTCTTGATCTCCACCCCGCCGGATGGGCAGATCTGTTTGGACTTGCTAAGAAGAACCGGCATCTGCAATTTGGTGATAGTCTTGAATTTAAGCACGAAGACCTCCAGCATCCTCATCAGTAGTTCCCGACCCTGGCTGCTGTTTTCTGCATCCGATCGCTGGCGGATACACTCGACCAGGTTCAGAAGCAGCTTGCAGGACATCGTCTGGATGGTCGTAGGTAGACTTTGGTCGTGGACGTTTTTGCTGAAGAGGTGCACGGCTCTCGCGAGGTCACTCAACGGCAGAAGCTGCCTAACGTGGTGGACCAAGTCGGCCAGGGTGGAGTAGGCTAATGGTCTCAAGGACTCGTAGGTCGTCCAGCCATGACCTAGAAGAACCTCCTCGTCGAACAGGCGCTCCATGTGGGGAACGAATTTGTTCCTCAAGTCCGTCGCCAGGATATGCCTCGCAGCGATCAAGAGCTCCTTGCGTAAATGGGCTACCTCCATCGGGCACAAGGTCAACAATCCTAGCATACCCTTCACCATCATGTTACTATGCTGGGACACCACGTCCTGGTAAATCCTGATGATGTAGGCCAAGAACGACAGGGTCTTGATCTGTGCTCCCATGAAGTCCACGAAGACCTCCTTGTTGAAACTCGGGGAACCTCGATGCTGAGGACTCGGCTGTAGGTTTATCGTCGTCATTATCAGAGGGATGAAGTCCGAGACGTCTTGATGCACGTTTTGCTTGTAGATCTGGTACATTAGGACCACTATTATCGGCAACTCCTGGAGGACCTTCAGAGACAGAACCGCCTTCGGGATGAGGTTGTACTAGAAAATACGAATTGTAATTGAATTTTTAAATGAAGGAGAATTTTTGACGGTAGTTGTTGAAGTCAACGATGACTGTGAAGTACCTACCGTCACTACCGTTCCATCAGCCGCCTTTTTCTCGCTCTGAATGGCTGTTATAGTGAACGTTTCCTTCATCAGGGCCTCGATGTTAATTTCGGAGAGGTCCTTTACCCTTAGGGGTGGCCGAGGCTCGAAAATCTTTGGCAAGTGTTTCGGCAATTCGCTGTATATCGACTTTACGAACTGCAGGAAGTGCTGGATCTGGCAACAGATTTAGATATGTAAAACTAATGTCATACATGGATAAACGTTTCTCCGGAATAATTTATATATTGTTTACTTACTTCGGGATTAAACGTCGGCCTGTACTGCTTATGAAGCTCGATTATGATCCTAAGGCAGACCAAAATGTTCTCCTCGTTTTCGGTCTCGAGGAGCTTCATCATGAGGCTCAGGATTTGTTTAACGTAAGGCCGCAGGAATTCGTTAGTCGGCAGCCTGTGGATCATCTCCAGGATCAACTTTCTGACTTGCTGTATATTGTACTCCGATATGAAATGCGGCTCTCCCTCTTGAAGGATCTTCAGGAAAATCTTCATGAGGTGATCCAGGAACGCGGGATACTGCGGGGAGCACATGATCACCTGGGGATGATTCGGATTAATTATTTTAAAAAGTCCTCCACGTTACCTTAACACACTAACGAGCGGTGTTATCCGTTCCTTAGTTACCTCGAAATTTTCGGACAATTCTTGCGCCGCCTTCAGCTTCAATTCGTCCTTCGAACCTGGATCGGCCAGCATGGTCACGTAAGACCGATATGTGTTCATCTGCGTCAAGGGATCGGGCGGTGCCATTTTGGTTCTTTTATCAATCTTCACTTTACAGCAACATCAAAAACCCTGAGTCTTCCACCCGGCAGGACCTCCTCCGCCTGGAGAAGAAATATTTCTCGTACAAATTCAGATTTTAAACCAAGGAAAAGCACAAGGAGCGCCACCCTCCACCACAATTAGAAGGACATAAAATTTCGAAAGACGAAATAATTCGAAATGTATCCCACATTAAGCCAAGTCTTCGAGGATGATTTCGAGAAGCAGGGTGTTCTTAATGAATATTAAAAAAAAAGGAAAAAAAAGAAATTGAATCACCATCCACCCAGCACTGAGGCCGCGCCTCGAAAGGCTCGAGCGCCTGAAAACGAGTGGCACGACGAAACAGAAAAATTTCTTGATCGAGTTTCCCGTCGTTCTAAAATTCGAAAAAAATTCGAGGAAGACCGTGGCGAGTCCCTCGGTCGATAAAAAAAAGGTCCACTGCACAGACACGAGGAAAATCAATGATTCAAGGTCCCGAATGGAGCCCTGTAAACAGAGCTTAGCAACCGGAGCCTCCCCTGAGTCCGCACTGTACATTTCTCCGGCTTATCATACTTATACCCTCCGGAGTAAACCTCCGGCGGATCGTCCCGAGGATAATCCAGCCTTAATTCGGGAGTAATTCGAGCGAACCTAATGCCGCATTGCGTCTGTAATTCCGAGGCGAATCGGCCGGCCCGAGTCAGGGGCTCGACACGAATGCCTAACTTCTGAACTTCGACGTTCCCTCGCCGAGCAGGTTTTGATATATACAAGAGTTTCGGTTCATACAGTCGGGCAGATACTGTATTTTACGTAGAAACGCGCGGCTCGGGTGCACGATGGGGATATGCCTCCGTAATCGGGATTTTAGCCATGCCCGAGGACTCTTTCAGTCCCTCTACGGTCGCCTCGAGGGTGGGACGTGAATCGCAGGAAAGCATTCCGTAAAAAATTCCGAAAGAAATACCAACACGTGATAAGAAAGCCAATTGAATTTTTCCCGGGTCCCGCGAACATTCGTAGATTGATAAGGACCAGGATTTCGAGCGATCTCGAGGATGGACGAAAAGGTGATCGACTCCATTTTCGCGGGCTCTCTGAAGTCCTTGCCCGCGGTCAGTTCCAAGATCGTCAGGATCTTCACCAGCTCCACGTTTACAGGTGGGTACCCATCCTTTCTTTCATCTTTTTTCAAATTTGGACATTGACATCTCTGTCACGTGAATGTGTATGAAATGACTAAATATTTTATTCAGACACGACGATGGAAAGGAACACGTTGATGGCCCAGTGCTACCCAAAGTTAAAGGACTACTGTCGAGAGAAACACGGTTTGGAGTTCCAGGTGAGTCGAATCTTGGGAGTCCGCACTTTTCAAATTGAAATACGGACATAATCGCAGCAGTTGATGCCGTATCCAAGAAGATGAAGGGGAGGAAGAATAATAAAAATTCTCATTAATTGAAATTAATCGGCGTATCTTACCGGAGCGTTTCTCGTCACCTTAAAAGGGCACGATAACGTCGGTCGCGACCTTCGATAACAATTGATTTCGGCTGCACCAGGCACCAAGGTGCCTTAAACGCCCACGCGAACTTCGGGTGAACTTCGAGGATCGGATATCGAGCGAATCAGCTTTCCGGGCGTGTTAAAGAAACGACCTGGCTTAATTTGGATCGTGCGCCTAAACCCTATCCTGACTCGGCGATGATAGCCCGTAATTACGCTTCGATAATAATTGCAGCGGTAGAGGGAAAAAGTGACGAACGAAGATCTATCGAATCTTCGGAGGATTTAAACTCCTCTTAATTTCGCGATTTAACGTAAAGAACATGACGAGGATGTTTCATTGTGAAAGGTTCTTCCAAATTTGATTTCAGGTGGTGGACATGCGATGGGGAGTCCGAGACGAGGCCACGGACGATCACATGACGACCGAACTCTGCATGAGGGAGATCGAAAATTGCCAGCGCCTCTCCATGGGCCCGAATTTCGTGGTAGTATTTTTTTCAAGGTCTGCCAAGGTTCCCCCTTGCAGGAAAAAATTCCTCCTCAGGTCTTCCTCGGGCAAAAGTATGGATATCGACCGATTCCGACGTACGTCCTGAGCTCGGAGCTGGAGATGCTGAGGGCCGAGCTAGAGTCTCAGGGGATGGATGTCGTGGTTCTGGACACTTGGTATAAGAAGGACAGCAACGCGGTTCCACCGACCAGCGTTTTGCAGCCCATCTCGTCGATCCTGAAGAACTTCAACAACAAGGTAAATCCAAAATGAATAGTCTGAGTCGCGAATAAAAAGGGAAAGAATGATCATACGTTCGATTTCGCAGAGGGTCCCGAAGCTGCAGCAGGAGGACCAGGCGATATGGTGGGACACGATGACGAAGATGCAGAAGTTGTTCCGAAAAGGGGCCCAGTCCCTCTTCAACGCCGGGAAATTCGACAAGGACACCATGCATAATTACTTCATGTCGGGTATGCACATAATTTCCAAACTTTTAATTCAACTTTTCATAGCCGTACCTTTAAGGCGGCGTGAAAGCGCCCGCTGGGCCGTGAAATCATTTATAAAACTTTTCTCAGTACCGGGTCCACCGAATTTAAATAATCAATTAAACTTCATCGCGGGAATAGGGAAGTCCTAAGGAAGGTCTCGGACACCCGTGAAATTGCATTTCATTCACGACATATTATTTTTATTTACTCTAGATTAGAATGAAGATGCGTTGTCAATGCATGTATTGGATATTGTACACCTTCCAAAAGCTCAGAATCAAAGACGAAGAGTTCCAAGATCTAGGAACAACAATTTTGAACGCTCTTAATCGAACATTATGGTTTATATGGGAAATATCGAGAAAAATTTTATAAATACACGTAGTGAAATTCTCACTTACTTTTTTCTTTTTAGCAACGCGTGCTCTGTAAGTGCTCCTAGATCCAACATTTAGTTTCAGCTAAATGCAACTAGTATACTAGTTAAAAACAATTTTTTTCTTTTTACCGACGTCGATTTTCTCGGCGTTTTTTCCACCACCCTAAGCGTTGCTGATTGAAATTTCAGTGACCGAGAGGGAAGTCATCAACGGAATCCTGAACGTGAAGAATACGAAGAACCATTGTTTAGCCTACGTGCGCTACATAAACAACATAAATCTGCAGAACCTGAAGAAGGCCAGCTTGTTCGTGGACATTATCAACCGGAGTTTGGACAACGAGGCGTCTCGCCTTCTGGCGAACCTCAGGGACGAGAGACTGCCGAATAAAATCGAGAGCATGAATTTACAAAGGTCCCGTGAATCGTTATCCTGTAAAAAGATATCCACATGTGGAGGACGAAACTTCGTAGAAGAAAAATGGCAAGTCGATTTCTTTCCCCAGGTACACCGTCGAGTGGATTGGAAGGGAGGGTCTCGATGCAGAGACTCACGGCGAATATCTTCAGCATTTCGTGATGCATTTCTACAGAAATATGGTGAAACTGGTTGACCGGGCGATGAGAAAAGAGGACAGCTCGGCACAGGGGCAAATTATTACGGAGATCTTGCAACACTTGCACGCGTGCAACAATTCCGTGAAGGTAGAGATAAGTTGTAGTCTCATGCACTGAGAAAAGAACGCGATTGAATCAAAGAATCTATTTTTCTAATTCAAAAAGTAACTCAAATAAATTCTAATAAATTGGATGCAACATTTCGTTCGGAATTGTGATAATTCATTTTAGTTAGATAATGACTCTTGGAATTAATAAGATATTTGCTTTGCTACCATCCAAAGAGATGTGTCTTTGGTTCGATGAATCTTTTCTCTCGGGGTAGTATCTCGGCGGGTAGTTTTAAAAAAGGACTGTAAAACAGGTGTTTTACGGGCGCGAGGACACCCTCGAGAAGATTAAGGACTACATGCTGGGAGATAGCGATAAACCTTTGGTGCTGTATGGAGAGGGAGGTTGTGGAAAGACCTCTCTACTTGCAAAAAGTGCAGGCCTGAGTTACACGACCTGGCTAGCCACGAAGAAGCCGATAAACGTTATTCGGTTCCTCGGAACCACTCCTGACAGCAGTGCCCTGACCCCCACGTTAATTTCGATATGCCAGCAGGTGGGAAATAAACAATTCCTACTGAAATTAAATACTACACTAATGACTACATCGACATTTGTATTCAGATCTCTTACAACTTCCTGTTGCCATTCGAAGACATTCCGGACGACCTGGTGCCTCTGACAGCGCACTTCAAGTACCTCTTGACACTGTCAAGTGCAGACCAGCCGATACTTCTGTTTCTTGACAGCGTCGATCAGCTGACTGGGGTCCAGGGGAACAAACTGTCCTGGCTGCCGACGAGACTTCCAGCTCATTGCAAGGTAATGACAAATTAAGGGGGGCATGAAAGTGGCATCCCAGAGGTCAATCGTTCATGAAACTTTTTTATGAACAGGATGCACCGAATCGTTTCGAACTTTACAACGTAAAGTACACGGGGGCTATACGAAAGGTCCCGACCCTATGAAATTTCCCGTTTCAGACAAAATTAAAAAATATCTAGAAACAAATAAAAAAAAAATGAAATCTCATGGATATCAAGACCTTCCTTACAGACTCCGTATTCACACTGTAAAGTTTGAAAATATTCGGTATACCTAGTTTGGAGAAGTTTCATAAACGAGACTTCTTCGACGCCACTTTCACGTCCCCTTAATGCCACGGAATCGCACAAGTCTTTGAATTAATAATATTTTGAAAATATTCAGATGATCCTCTCTTGCGCCGCGGAGGACTCTAATCCTACGATTTCTCGGGATTATCATTTATTGAGGAGAATGATCGACACGGAGGAGAGTTTCATCGAAGTTACCGCCCTGGGCGAGGACCTGGCGATGGATGTTATCAGGTGATGCCCGAAAATACGACCGTTCCTTTTCTTATTAATATTTCCTTTTTCGTCTATTTAGAATGTGGATGAAGACGGCGCGCCGTGACCTGAACAATTATCAGTGGCGATTGGTGGCAAACGCGATAGCGAAGTGTTCCTTGCCGATCTTCGTGAAGCTCGTCTTCGCGGAGATCTGCAGATGGCGAAGCTACACGAAGCCTGTAGATACGCATCTGGCGAACACAGTGATGGACAGTATAATGATGCTTTTCGAGAGGATCGAGAAACAACATGGAAGGATTTTGGTCTTCCACGCGTTGGCATACATCACGGCTGCGAAATCGGGTTTATCCGAGTCCGAGCTCGAAGATTTGATTTCGCTGGATGATAAGGTCCTCGACGACGTATATCAGTACCACTTGCCGCCTGTCAGGAGGATACCACCTCTACTTTGGACCAGGATCAGGAACGATCTGCCGAATTATCTGAGCGAGAGAGAAGCCGACGGCGTTAGCGTGTTAAATTGGTACCATCGTCAATTCCGGGATACCGCTAAAGAACGATACTTCAAGAACATGAACATGGCAATGTACTTTCACTCCATGATCGCGGATTATTACCTCGGGATTTGGGGTGGAGGGAACCCGAAGCCGTTCAAGTATACGGAGATCCAGAGACACCGGTATGCGCCCCTAGTTTTGGTAGAATTTTTGATAAAGTATCCTGGCTGTTAGATAAATCGGCCAATGGGTAGCGGAGACGGATTCCGCGTGAAATCCTGCACAGAAAACATGTAACCATGTATGGGGTTTGGAGTTCAGGTTTTAAAGATATTTCAGATTTAAGGTTGACTGAGGGAGGCGCGATCCGATTGGCCGGAAGGCTCGATGGGCGGAGCTTTCGCGACCATCTAGCCAATCAGCGCGCGGTGCTTCGTAAACTTGAATCCTCAATAACTCCAAACCTTGAAAACTAAACTCCATATAATGTTGTTTTTTTTTTCTAGAATTTCATGCGGAATTCGTCTGTGGTGTCCGTTTCTGTCTGCGAACAGAAAACGTTGCTGTATAATTCTGCACGATAACTCGTCTTTTACCGATGTCTAGATTTAATCTGACAGACAAAGAAGGCGTAGCCGACAGGAAAGTCCCGGAACAGCCTCTAGCCTTTTACTCTCAAGAGGGAAAGCTCTCGAGATACAACTTAAGAAAGGTTGTCACGAGTTGAAAAGAGACTCTTCCCGCTCCATCCTTCTCTTAACCATTTTCCTTCTGTTTCTCCCCTAGTTCGGAGAGTTGCCTTTCCATCTGGTGAGGGCACGCCGATTCAAGGATCTTTTCGAGAACGTGCTCTTCAATTACGAGTGGCTCCACGCGAAATTGAGTTCCTGCCCCCTGCAAGCCGTGCTTTCGGACTTCGAAGACGCTTGTGCCAACATGGAGGATCAAAATCTCGTTCGGTGAGGAAGATATCGCCATCAATCCCGATTTTCTATCTCTAATTGAGTACAGATAAACACGGTGTATTAATTAACAGAGAACTGATGTTAGTTGCTGACGCTCTAAGGCTAGGCGGAGCCATTTTAGGAAACCACCCAAATATGTTGGCTCCGCAATTAGTCGGAAGACTATTGCCGGAGATTGGCAATAATGTCAATGTCAGAATGTTGTTGAGGGCTTGCGACAAAGACGGTGCAAAGGATTGCGCCCTGCTTCCGTTGTACCATTGCCTACATACACCTGGAGGGCCGTTGAAGGTAAGCGAGCATATTTCAGTTACGAATGATATTTTAACGATTGATAAAAATTTATATATTTTTTTTTTATCAGTATTCCCTGGAAGGCCACCAATTTGCAGTTTTTGGATTCTGCCTGACAACCGACTTTCGATACGTAGTCTCGATTTCTAATCGGTTCATTACTTGGGATCTGAGTACCAGTGACATGACGAGAGATGTGAATCCTGGTATCGAGGGAATCATGCAACAACTGGTCCTCAGTCCTGACAATAGATACGCCTCGGCCTTTACGAGCAACGACCAAGTAATAAATTAGACGATAAAATTATTATAATCTCTTAAACAATACCATTTAACATATATTTTTCAAACCCCATTTTCTCTCTCGACAGACCGTCGTGCTGAACACTCTGACCAGCGAGTTCGTCATTATAAACAATCCTCTTCCGAACGAGGAAAATGTTTTCGGGATTCATCTGACCAACCAGAACGTCTTCATCTACGGGAGGAATGCCTGGTGCAAATTCGATCTGCGAGGAAACTCCGTAGGAAATCACACGACCCCGGAGGACTCTAACCAATGGCCAATCATGTGTAACAACCGCTTCGATACCTTCCTACAAAAATGAATATAAAATTATTATGCAATTCAGAACATAATTTTTTTTATCGCCAGACATGGAGTATTCAACTAACGACGATTGTCGAATCGTCTTCTGGTCTGGAAGTATGGATGATACGAGATTATTATTACACACGTATCGCAAAAAGGGCACCATAGACTCTTTTTACTTCCACAGGTAAAAATTATTCTTCTCTTGAGTACCTCCAAATTTCAATTGTGCTTTTCTTTTCTTCTTCAAATTTTTAGCGCAATGGCCCTGAGTAATGATAAGAAAACGCTTTTTGCCTGTGCGAATGACGGTGATTATCGGGTGACGAAATACACGATAGATGAGAGCTCCTCGTACTGGGAGAAGAACTTTGAGATGCCTAGGTCGAAAAATGACGACGTCGAGTACGTCCTTCAATTGAAACTGGACCGAGAGGAAGAGGTCCTGTTGGCAACGACAGGGAATGGATTTGTAGTCTGGTTTTTAGAGAGCAAAAGCGATGCGATGACGCTGATGCTTCCCCATGGGGTTCGGAACATCAGCACCAAAATGATGTCCTCGAATTCCATCATGGTCAGCGGCACCAAAAATTATGCAGTGGCAGGTGTCAGGTATTATCTAAAAATGATTAAATAATAATTCGTTAAGGGAATTCTGAGAATGATATTAAACATTAAATTCAATGTCTCGAAGGAAAAATCTTTACGTGTGGAGTTTGGAGACGTTCGAGCTGGTGAAGATTTTGGACGCCCATTTTGCGAGGATTATTCAACTAGAACCATTGACAATTGGCAATTGGAACAGTGTCATCACTTCGAGCATCGATAGGAGTGTCAAAGTGTGGAATATTGACAATATATTCGAACAGGTCCACGTGATTGACAGGCATGAGCTACCCATTGATTCGTTGAGGTATTAATTTATTTATACTCATGAAGCAACTTGTAAAGAATTATAAAAAATATGTTATGAATTTTCTCAGCTTGGCAGAACACTGTAATCTTGCAGCGACTGTTACCAGAGGTTGCGTCGGTGTTTGGGATTTGCAATCTGGTAAATTGATATCGAGACTGGCTGATAGTCCCTTGGGGGCAATTGTTACTCATGCTCGTATTACACACAATGGAAAGTAAGTCGATCGATTATTCTATGTGCAGAACAAACATTGTTTTTTTTTTATTTTTTCAGGTACATCATTTCGACAGAGTCTGGCAATGTCTTAATTTGGAACCGGATAACTGAGCAAGTTCTGTTTAAAGAGGAGCAACAAGATGTCAGGCAATTATCATTGATTTTGGATACGAACACATTTATGGCTGTTTCCAGACCAAACAATCCCCCAGGAGTTGAAACTGTTCGAGCTACAGCAGTCCTTGTTGTTCGGAGCATACCTGGTTAGTCATACTAAAAACGTCAATTGGATGGACTAAAATAAAAAATCTAACATTCATGTTACAGATGGTAGAACAATATTTACTGCGGAATATCAAGTGAAGAGTAGCACCGGGGTACCATTTCGAGAAGTTGTACCAACATCCGATGGTATGCACTTGGCCGTACCAGCAGCTGACAAGGGTAATCGAGATTGTGTAATGATCTACGCTGCTCAGACTGGTACACTTATCAGCAAAATTCCAATCAAGATACCAGGATTCAAGGTTGACTACCAATTTTTTTAATACCTTTGGATGAATACGATAGATTTTGATCCAATTTGCAGGATATTACCATGATCGTCTCAATGCCATCACGAGGACAGTGGATAGGCATCATTGGAGCTGATAAAGGAAGCATTTTAGATATTAATAAGAAAAAGATTGTCAGGACAATACCTAAGTGGAGCGGAAACATTAGCAAAGATGGAAAATATACCCTTTACGCACCCAGCAGGTACAGAGCTTCAAATTTCACTTTAGAAAATGAGTACCTGGGTTTATAAGAATAATTTCATAAAGTCAATTGTTTTTGTACAACTTTTTAGAGGTGGGCTCGACCTCGTGGAACTGAAGAAAGGTACGATCGTGAAGACGTATATTCCAAAAGTGGCAGAAGGTGTATTTACTGTAATTTCCATGTTCAATCGGACTGACGAATACGTTCTATACTACCACAGTGGTCGAAAGACGATAAGAGTTTTCAGGTTAGGAATATAATTAGTAGAAGAACAAACATATCATCAGTGAATAAAGAAAATATGCCTTTGACTTTATTTTAGAATGTCAGATTGTGAAATGATAGCAAACTACAGAGTGCAGGCTGAACTGAGTGCCATTGATAGTACGTACGATGGCAGAAGTATCGTTCTAGGAACAGTGGATGGCTGCGTCTCCGTGCTTGCTATAGCAGATCCTCAGAAATCGGAAATACAAGAATACCTCGCTAATCTTCCTTCGCGAGATGAACAGGTTAGTATTTTCTCCTTTGATTCTTTTCAAATTATTATACGAATCTGTTATAACTCAAAATGGATATCAAAGCTCGTATAAAAGTTAGAAGTTCTGGAAAAGTAGAAATCACACGTTTGGATTTAAATAAATCACAGTACATCGTTCAGGAGAATTATGATATTTATAGGTTATACCTAGGAAAGTCGTCGAGTTACCGCAAAAGTGTGAACTTTCGCGAAAGTCATTGAACTGTTGAATGTTATACGCAGCGGCATGCATCCAAGATAGTTTCTCAATTCATAAAGATAATTAACTCAATGATAATACCATTAAAAGCGTACTACTTACAAATTGGTGTTAGATGCTGCAGCGAGGTTAGGTTGGACGTCCGTCGAGGTAACAGCCCCTCCCGGGATGAAGTTCAAGCTTTTGTCACATTTTGAATGTTTCTCTGTTAATGTCTTACATGTCACGTCGTTACTTTTGCGGTTTGTTAATGAAAAATCGGAGGAAAACACACGAGATGAAAACGCGGGTTGTCAAAAACTCGAGGCAGTCGGCATCGCCCGTATACAAATGTTGCCGAGAATGCCGAGGAACATCGAAACGCTCGAGATGGGCATGGACAATTCGAGTTGATTCGATATTTCCCCCGCGTCGCGCGCAACCAACCAATCACAGCGCTCCATACATCAGAAGCAATCAATGGGATGCGTCGTTTGTCCCGGGAAGGTTACAGAGAGAGCCACTGCGATTTATCGGCGCTGCAGCATTTGCGCGCGGAATACAAAGCAGTTTCTCGTCAAATGAAATAGCAAATAACTCGCGAATAAATAATTGTTTCTTTTACAGTGGAAAAAGAAAATGGAGAAGCAACGAGTGACTACGAAGTTCAAAGCTGCAGCACGGATCGCGCGCGTTACTCACGACTTATCGAATAGCATTCGTGAGAAAAGTGCGAGTACAGACGGCGTCGGACTTGAAGAAAACGAATGAGGCAAAATGATTTTCTCGATGTTGCGACGTTGAGTAATTACCAGGATTAATTCCTCATTTTGACAGTAATTACCAGAATTTCCTCATTAAAATGACTTCATGTAATTACCGAAAAACTTGAACATTCCTTAGGGAGATTTAAGTCAAAACCGTTTGAAGCATGACGGAGCGGGCAAAGAATCACGGTGATTTTATGGAATTTATATTACATTTATTTCTGTCTTTTCGTGTAGTCGTTCGCATAATCTTGTCTCTCGACGCATTCAAATGTAGCGACGTAATAAGGCGCGAGATGAGTTCGTGGAAAAAAAAAAAACGTCGGAGGGCGGCGCCATTGAAAATATATCGGATGCAGGTGCTACACCGGTCTCCGAGGCATGAGTCGATATTAAGAAATTTCCTGCCATTCCTTCGGATGCGATTAATCTTCGTCTCGACCCAGGGGCCGCCTCCCGTTTCTTCTTCCCTTTTCTCTTAACCGAGTACGAACGCATCTCGCGCCGTCACAGGCTTGATAAACTCTTTAAGTTCTTCGTTTCCTTAGGGCGACGCGAAACTTCCCACCGGATTTACAGTAGTCTGCGGTTTTGCGATAAGGAATCTCCACGATTTCTATTTATCAAAAGGCATGCTTTTAGTACGATCTATGGAAAAGTAGGCATCAAATTACAAAGGTCGCCTCGCAGATTTCTGTAAATCTCCAGGAATTTTCGCGCCGACTCGAACGTCTCTCTTTAACAGCGCGTCGGGAATTCCGCGAGGTTCCTTTTTCGTAAATTCCAATTGGCGATTCGACGAGTTTCGGCTAGATCCCGATAAGTAGCGCCAATCATAAAAATAAACGGAGGTGGCGCTCTGTCTCGGCAGTGGACAAAATCGGAGGTTAACGTCTCCTCGACCGCGATCCGTCGTCTGCTGAATACAATTTCAATTTTTGATGATAAATAAAAATCTCAAAAATTAAATTATGCAAGAATCAAAGTTTTCGAATTAAGTTCAATGATTATATTTTAGCAACAAGATTGAAATCTGACCCCACTGAAGAGGTTTTAAACATCTCATGCTTTTCATTGTGTATTGTCGCAGTTACAAGAACTTTATACTGCCGTTGATATTAATTGAAAAGCGTTTTCCCTCCGAGTAGAATAATCCCTAGATGACCACATTGGAATCCTCACTGGACCGACGTGATCTAAGAATTTTCTAGTGCAGGAATCTTAATTTTCAGCAGATTTCGGTACGTGGTCGTACCGCAGCCGAGCTCCGTTTCATACGGATTCTGATGCTCGCGATTGGCTCCGTTCTCATCTGAGAAATTTGAAAATAAACGAGCGAGCGTGGCCCTGCTTTTGCGCTCGCAGCGCCTTGATCGGATAAACGACTACTTAAACGCATTCGTAACAATATACAACTAAAACTAGCGTGAACTCGTTCGCGATCGTTCACGACCGCGAAGCTCTCTCGCTTCTCTCCTCTCTTTCTCTCTCAACCTCGCCCTTTCACTCTTTCTATCTCTCTCGCTCCCTTTCATTTCTAAAAGTTCCAAGGTGCGGCCTGCTAAAAGTGGGCACGAACGATAACGACGCAACCCTGCAAAGTGGTGTGCGAGTAAAGTGCGAATTGGTTTAATTTTCCCGTGGTTGGCGATTAGTTTCTCTCTTGCCGGCAGAGGCGTTGCACAGGCCGTCATTTACGGCCGCACGACGGCCTAGCCTCTGGGAGTTTCCTTCTGGTTACTTGCGATGGGCTCGTTTGGTTTTCTTTTAGAGAAATCGTATCTTGTCGAGTGTTTCATCTGGATTCCTGGTAATTCTTCCGGCCCTCCCACTTCTTCCGTTATGCCCGGCGCTTCGACCTCCGCTGAGGTACGTCGGCTATCACGCTCGCGTCGACCGCCTTGGATTCTTATTGCGTTTGTTGCTGCTGCTGCTGTTGCTCCTGCTGTTGTTGCTGTTGCTGCAACTCCAACGCTGCAGTGTCCTTTATGTGTTTTTCCACCTATGATTGATGAATCATGATTTGATTGAATTGAGTTTTGTACATTATTTGGACATGTAATCAGTTGGAGTATATGCTACGGTCTTACCACTTTTCTCACGTGTTTGTAAGCAGGTGTGTTTTCATCTCCATGGACATTGTCTAGTTTATACGGTGGCTTGATCGTAACGTCATTGAAGACCACAATGTTCTGTCCATTCCACGCAATGTTTTGAATAGTCTTAGAAATGGCGATGAATAGTTTCTGGCCTTCGGGCGAGACTCCGGCCTGCAGGCTCTTGACCAGTCTCCTTTTCTCTTCAATGTGGTTACGCACTCGTTTGGTTAGCCTCTCTAAGTTCAGACTTTGCGGTGGCTCATTCGACGTGGGACTCACCTCACGCTTCACTTGAACATCCGACACCAGAGACAGGTTCACTATATGAACATCGTTCAAAGATAGTCTACCACTTGACGATGGGCACTCTAAGTAAAACTTGCTAAGGAACCCTTTTTAAAGTTCATTAAATGATTAACTTCTAAAATATGTGCTATGACTGACAAACAAAGGGAAAAGGTTATGCTCCATGCACTTGTCTCCCATACTTCACACATTCGTATCGGCCAAAATCAAGAATTCGATTACGAACATGGTGTAAATAATTCGCTATGACAATACTAAAGTAACGCAAGCAAAGCAAAGCAAAACTCATTCAAAGTCATTACAGCGGATAAAGCACAAATCTCCATTTAATATTTGTAAAGCTTGCAAAATCAGGGACCTGTAAATGAATGAAATAGCAATGATTAACTAAACCTGAATTAGTGATACTGTCAGAATCATTAATGGGCTGTACGAAAAACTCCATTATCTATTTAAAGTTCCCTTATTCGGTGTCCTATATTGGACCTTAAGATCTATGGACTGAATTCTCCAAGGACAAAACTAACCTGACTTTTGACCAAGACACTTTTAACCTAAAATCGGCCGACTACTTGAAAAAAGAGCATGCCAAATGTAGCACGCATTCGGAGTGTCCGGAGCGCAGGACGAACACAAGTACCGGCTAATCTCTTACGAGTTTTATTTACAATCCTCGTGGCGACGATAACGGAGATGAGGCAAAGGCGAAGGAACGCGGCATGGCAGGAGTCGGTGGGTCGATTTTCGCGAGTTCGGTCACATTAAAAGGATACTCAGGATGAGCATTTTGGTCTGTGGGTCGAACGCTAGGACCTCGCCCTCGATTTCCTTGTTGTAACAAGTTTTACAGGCCACCGTACTCCCGATGCTGAACCAGTCGCTGACGCCGGCCATTTTTCACTACAGACAGGACCCGCCGAGACTCCCGCCATCTGTGGACATCTCGCGGAATGAGGTTAGTTTCGGCATCCGCCGTTAATGGCGTTGCAACATTTCAGTTGGTGATGCCCTCTACAAAAATCACGTTTGAAAAGTATTCCCGCGTCCGTTTGATCTCCGTGCGTATTTCCTCTCATCTTACTTCGCTGTTTCTTATGTGTACCGTATAGTGTTTGGAGAGCTGTGTATATTGAAAAAAAGATCTTTTCTACCGAATCACCAGCCTAAAGAAATGAACTGAACATTTCAGGTCGAAGAAAGATCGGAAAGTAAGCAGAATATTAATAAAATGCCGATTCGAATAGGGAGTAAAAATACTCGTAAAAAATAGGCGTCCAATAATGCGTTCATTAATTTTTTTTATAGATTCATATGTAGCTATAAAAAAAGCAACGTAATTTTAGCTCGCGGGTGTCCGGATAACATCGCCAGTGAGTTTGGGTGTATCCCTCAGGAAATTCCTTCGATAATTTAAAATGGATTACTTCGTTAATCCGTCGATATTGCAAGGTTTGTCGGATAAGTTTTTTATGACTTTTCTTCATAATTTTAGATCCTGCGGGACGAATTGGTATCTTTGACGAGAATGGTCACTTCTCGCACTTTCATTTTGCGTGAGTTTATTCACCCGATTTTGTACTCTCCGAGTGAAAATCCAAAATTCGACGACTGAAAATATCGGGGTGAAGGTTTTGAACGCGTGTAACATATTTAAATACAATTAATGCCATTAAATAGTAGAGTGAAGTCTGCCATTTAAAATGATATACATGGGCGTAAAAGGGAAATAACTATATTTGAAAAGAAAGCGTCAAATCTTAAACGGCAAAAACCGCTGCAACTTCCTGGACAATGAAATAGCTCACTTTTAGCTTTTTCATCAGATTGGAGATACAAAATTGACTCTCAATTACTGAAGGTTCCGTCTGCAAATTTAATCGGTTGCGTCAGCTGTGTGTGACCGGTTAATTCTGCAATATGTCGAGAACTATTGGTTAGAATGTTTGATACACAACGGCATATGTCTCGATTTCAGTTGACGGGGTTATGTCTCGACATGAACGCCCCGCGTTTCGATTCCACTACGAACAAGCCTTGGGATGTCTCGGGCGACGTGACATGTACGCATGCAAAAGGCAATTGCAGGTCGTAGAGTGAATCTCGACTCGCAACCGCATTACGGTCCGAGATTCACCATCTGGTTCCGTCGACAGGGACGCCATTAATTCCGCGGAGCTTCCTCTCTTCCTTCGTCGAGATCCTCCCCTCGCCCCTCGAAAACATCGCTGCAAATCGAACATAACCTATCCCGCGTTCCCGCGGATTTAACGATCCATTACGTCTGCGTTCGCGCTCGTCTGGAGTTGCTTCCATCATTCGAAAGTTGCCACCAGTGTAGGAGATCCTGCCCAGAAAGACGTCCGTGGTGAATCCCCGGAACAGTTTTAACGAGGCGTGACTTCTGTTTCACCCCGTGTTATTAAACCCTCCACGTGCGACTGACGTATGAAGTTAACCACGTTGAACAATGAGAGCCACTGGAAGAACATCTATTTTCGAGCCGTAACTCTGGTTGCTTTTCGTGCAACACGAGAAAATTGACCTTAAATAAATTTAATTTCTGGGGTTTATTTTCCGTAGCGAGGTTACGTCGTGGCACGTTAATTGTTCACCGTTGTATATCATCACCGTAAAATTGCAACTCTATGTCTTGCTTTACTGCGGAGTTTTGAGTCGTCAAACTTTCGAAGTGGACAGCTCGAAGTTGTCGTTCCGTGGCGCCCCCGTCTAGCGGAAGTTGGCATCGGTGCTTCTGGCATTGGTCTTATCTAGAGAAACGTCCTTGGTAAGGTTTACGGCACAGTTTCAGCAAGGTTTTTGTTTCGGTTTGATGTTTTTAATCCCAGCGCACACGCGAGGTCGCACGAAGTTGTGTTCGTCGCACGATGTGGAATACCGAAAGGAGAGCTCGGCACGAGTTTCTGACTAGCCTCTGGCATGTAATCTCCGCAGGGAAGTGCGCGATTCCGAAGTGACCTTCTCCCGCCGGTCCGCTATCTTGCCAAACTTTAATGTTAAATAAAGTATAGTAAGCTTGTATGTTTAACGCGTGAAGTGAGACTTTATCGGTCCTATCACGGCTGCTCTTCCCTCGTGCCAAAGGGCGATACGATACCTTCTCGTTCAAGCCACTTTTCGATCATCAAACTTTCAAGGTGTAGCACCTAATAGATTATATATCCGGCCATTTTGCCGGGCGATGCAAACAACGCATGCGTTGTGCAAAGGTACGGGACAACTTCGTACCTATTTCCAGGTTATCATTTTCGTCAGGGATACACGCCTCCATATTTCGATTTACTTCTCGTCTGCTATCTCATCAAACTGGAAAGTTGAATAGAACTTGACCTTATGATCTCTTTCGAAGAACATAACCTTAAATTTCCTATTTAGACATTAGTTTCGCGTGACGCGCCACCTAATACGAGTTTCAATCGAGGAAAGTTTCAAGATGGAAATATCGACTTGTAACTCGGCTATTTGCATCAATCCCGATTCCGTATGAAATTGGTCATATTTACAGAGCCGCGCTACCCAATAAATCAGTGATCGAAATGTCTGATTACTCGCAATTTCCCGATAAGCCGAAATTGCATAAACGATGTAAACTTAACCCACGGAATCTTATTTTATCTTTCCTATCACGTTTCCATTTTCACCCTGCCAAACCGCGTCCTCGTATTCCACCCCTGCAACGAGTTTTCAATGAAGAAACTTCCGAGGTGGAGGTACGTTGTCCCTTGTTCCCGCCATTCCCGCCGACTTCGAGGTTTAAAGCCTCGAACGACCCCCTTCATGTCGCATGTGGCCGGAATACAATTTACCGAAATGTGCCAGTTGCTCTCCAATTCCCCTTTCTTAACCTCGAAATCCTGGCAAATCGAATGATGCTGATATCGATAAACCCTATAATGCTGCTCCAAGTTCTAACGAATATTCAAACTGTCACAATTAACATTTTTCGTAAAGAAACCTCCACTCCAAAAAAACCAAGTTACTCATATCACGTAACCCTATCATAACATGTCGCACATGAAAGAAACCTTACCACATGTCAGTAATTAAAATTATTTTTTATACTAAAATTGAGTTACTACCTCTTTACAGTATCCTAAACGACATGTATTAGTATCCGACTTGCGGGATTTTTATTTATTTGGTTTTTTGAAGAGTAGGGCATATTTATCGAATTTATAGGTCGAAATTGACTTTATATTCGATATCACATGATCGTATTGATACAGACGAGTATCCCAGAAACAATCGATCAGTGACCAACGACCAACCAATTGATTTCGCCGACCCGAAGACGGAGTCACGTGGGCCGGGCGCTCATTTAATTCCCGAGTCTTCGGGCGTTTCCGTCGGCGTTCGGAACCGCTCGGGCGCTCTCGGGTTGGCGGGTTCTTCTTTAATCGTGTGCGCTGTCCAGTCAGTTTACAGTCGCGGTATCGTGCGAAGCGTCGTGCGAAGCGTCGCGGGACTCTTCTTCGTCTCTCGGCTCTCGTCGCACGCGCTTCGGAATGCTCGTTAAAAGATCTATTGAAAAAAATGCGTTTCCTCGGTGAAGCCAAGTGCACCGCCGCAAGTCAACCTCGTTTTCGTCGCACGAATGGCGTGCCTTAATCGATCTTAAACCCTGACCGGATCAACATAAACTCGAGTGTGATCAATGACCTAACCTGCTACCCACAGTGAAGTTCTCAACGAAAATCGATCGAGGGAATTTTCCAAGAATGACCCAACGACAAGGTAAAAAAAAAAAAGAAAACGTTAAAAAGTAAAAGATTTATAAAAGCGCGCCGCTAAATAGTTGACTGATTTAAATCATTATTACATATGATAAGAAGGTAAAGAGGGAAACGCAAACTAAGATCTATGGAAGCGTGTCGCTAGAGAGTTGAATAATTAAAATAACGATTACATTTGACACGGCAATTTAATAATTGTTATATACAAAAACCTTTGTGTAAAGGTTTAGAAAAGGGTACCTCATTGGAACTCTTTCGATGATTTCCTCAGCATTTCATTCTTCGTGTAAATGTAGTACAAGTGCGTTTCACGAGAGGTGAAAAGCGTCCGGGAAACGTTTTTGCGATAAAACGTAGCTGTAAAGTGCAAGGGCGCAGATATGGAAATATGGATTTTGCATTCGAATGAGACCGCGTTGTTTTACGTTTCTTCAGGGTTGTTTGGCGTGCAGTTTCGCGTCCCTGTTTCGGCCATGTGAACCGCACAGATGGAGCCCTCCCCTTTCACCCTTTAAATTGTTCTCCTTTGAAAATATTTTCTCTCTCTGTCGCGCGTGTAACGAGGGTCGAGTTTCGGAGAATGTCGAGGACTCGTGGGCGTCCTAGTCCTGTGTTTTTCTTCTGATGATCGCCTTCATCCTCGAGCCCCTATCTCTGGTCTGTGACGGCCGTTTCCCGGAGCCGGGGGATTAATTGCGGCGTTATTGTTTCTCGTTAATTTCGGGCACACGAACCGAGAGGCAAACGGGCGTGGTGCCAGTTGGCATTTAAAAGAAAGGACGACTTTTCGATGCCTGAACGATCGACATAGCACGCCAGAATAGACTGTAGGATGCATGGACCCCGCTTGATGACCTATCAAGACAATCGAACTGAAAGAGAGAAATCGAAGGTGCTTCTTTTGCTTTCTTCTTTTCCTTTACATGAAATAATTGTGCGACGTGATTAAGGAATTTGTTGGATTTGCAAATTGCATGTATCACAAGTCCACGTATGACGCGTAATTTCCATGGATTTTAGATACATGGATGTATAATACTGATTTGACTATGATAACAGTAGAATTAAAGGGGAGAATTGAAGGGGTTGCTTTCTTGTTCTTTCTTTCATTTTACGTGAATAACTGGGCGGTGCAATAAAGCGACAGATTAACTAATAGCAAGAGGGAGAAGGAAAGGTTAGCTCTGCTCGCTCTCTTTTCTTTTCTCTACCTTTATAAGAATAAAAAGAGAGCCGTTGAATTTGCAAGTTCTAATGTTTCCAACATCCGCGTACATTGCATAATTCTATGGATTTAGGATACATGGATATATATCGCTGATTTTACTAGGAAGGCGATAGAATTGAAGGGGTTGCTCTCTCGCGTTTTTATTTTATTTTACGTGAAATAATTGGGCGGTGCAATAAAGCAACAGTTTATTTAACAGTTTACGAAAGAAGTGGAGTGAACAACCTCTGCTCGCCTTCTTCCCTTTTCCCTAGAATATCTAGGGAGTGGTCGGGTTTAAGGGGGTCATGTGTTCTATGTCCGTGCTCAAGATGCGTAATTTCCATGGATATGGAATATATGGATGTACAAGATGAATAAAATATCGCGCATCATAGGGATATAAGGGCAGGGAAATTTTTTATTTATTTTTGTACCCTTGCGACATCTGGTTCACCCTGTTTAATGTTATTCTGACTAGGAAGATCGCAGAACTGAATGAGAGAAAACGAAGGGGTTGCTTTCTTGCTCTTTTTTTTTCTTTTTCTTTCTCTCCCCGTGAAACTTTTTGAAAGGAGCAATACGGTGACAGCCTATTTATCAGCAAGAGAGAAAGAGCCCCTCTGTTCGTTGTCTTTCTGTTTCCCTGCCTTCACAAGAATATCGAGGCAATTGTTGGATTTGCGGGATTTACGTTTCCCACGTGCTTGAAACAGACTTGGTCAGTTGGCTGAAATGTACAGAAGTCGTCGTTCGTCGAAACTTTATCTCCATTCAGGGTCTTTAAAGCGTACTCACGCGAGAACACGCCATTAACTCCGAAATTGCAGTTTTTATGATTTCTTCTTTTTCTTTTTTTTTTTTCATTGTGCCTGGGGAGCGATGACTCGGCTGGGATTTTTCCTTCTTCTTGCACTTATTTAAACTTAATAATTCGCCATGCCATTAGTCGTTAACATATTCCGAAACAGGGGAGCTCGTTATTTCTCGCGTGCATAAAATTCCAATCGATCATTACAAAGCAGCTGGGCTCTCGCGGGGCGATTTGAAAAGCAAATCGACTCGCTAATTTCCCATCGATCTTTCGCCTTCCATTATATTTCGCTGGTCATTAGTTAGTCGCGATTATTAACTCCTCCTGACGTCAAGAAATTCGAGATGATCCACGGCCTAGGTCGGGTAACTTTCGTGTATTTTTAGAAAATTTCGGATGCCTCGTCGGGGCCTACTTTTGGTTTCTTTGCAGCTTCGTATTCTCTTTTCGCCTACTCTCACTTTCCGTCCTCGCGGAAAATCCTGCAAAATTATACGACGACCCTGCGGCGCAATGGGAAATTTCTCCGGCGATCTTTGAGGAGCTAGGGGAAAATGGAGGAGGTAACGCGGGGTAAAGTTTCCCCCATCGCGGAATAAAATCCAGAGGTAAAAAACGAGCCGCGTGGAATAAATCGATTCCCCTCGAATAAATCTACTCGCGCGGAATAACGTTATTGGCGGGAAATAAGATTATTCGGGATGCCGAGTTGCCGGAGGATTTTTAAGACGGAGGAATCTTTAAGAGAAATTACCTATGCGCGTTTTAATGGCCGCGAACGGACTGGCGTGTTAATGCCGGCTAAGATAGCGCGTGTCATCTCGTTTTTGCTTAACCGACGCCGAATACGAGCACGAGCCGACGCAACAGTCGTGGAAAAAGTTAATGTATCTACGAGTTGGTAGGAAAAGTTCTGCGGAAAAGTGCAACTCGTTCTTCGCCATAACACGCGACGGCTTGAGAGCGCGTCCAAGATGGCGGCCGCTGCCCGTCGATTGTTCCTTTTTCCAACATTGACATTGAGAGCCGACTCAAAGTTTGCTCACGACTCGATAACGATGAGCCGTTACTTATATTATTATTGGCGATATTTTTCGCTCTCTCTCTTTTCCGACCGTAGCAATTAGATGTAGTCACTAGTTACCTTCGTTACGAGTTATGGCGAAGAAAAAAAAAGAAAATGCTCCAAGTCAGAGCTGGTAGTAAATGATGCGTCGCGGGTGAAAGACTGAAATAATGAAAATAATGGGAATTGCTTGACACGTGACGGCAAGTAAAACTTTATCCCAGTAATATATCATAAAGAAATGAATACGAAGAGATTCATAAAAAAGCTAACCATATCTTCTCTGTTTGCGAATTTCCGCAATTACACGCCTGAGAAATATGAAGGCTATCGTTCGTTTAAGTTGCCCCGATTGGTAACCTTTCGGGGGATTGTTTGCGACAACTTCGTACGCGTGTCAACGGTATTGCTAGATTTTTACAAGAATATTTAACTTACTTATAACCGGTGTTACAATTTCATTGTGTCAGATGTGTATTAAGTAACTACCGTCGTGGAGATATTCCACGTTAAAGGTGCGTAAAAATTGGATCTTTGGGTCGAGTCGTCCGACGTTTGCAGACCAAAGAGACGCCTCTTAAGTCGAGTCAAGAAGGGGGTTAATATCGTTAGATGAAAAGTATCCGGTGCAGCCTCATCAGCGCCTTGACGAGGTATCGGACGTACACGAGAGCAATCCAATTTAATGCCTGACCGGCGCAATTGCGCCGCGATGGCGGCGATAACTCGTGAAAAGACAATAGGCCAGATGGAAAGCTCCCATCTAAATCGACCGGATCGATCGGTTTCGATTCCTTCGGAAAAAGAGCAACGAGGTGTGCGGACCCTCCGCGGCCCTGCGAATTATCCGATACCACCCACGATGTAGACTGATAACGAGCACGAGGGTTTTAACAAACGAATTACCGAGGTTCTCCTCGGGGTCCTCTTCAGGGGAGAATTTATCGAGTGAGGACATCCTTGATAATGAATTCAGGTATTTCAATTCGGTGAATTCATTCGGCCCCACTTGGACATTTTATTTCCCTCTTGTAAAAATTTATTTTCCTCTCGAGGGGGATTGCTCTCCCGGGAATGGCTAAATTTCGAAACTGCCTCGAAAATTGAAATAAAAAGTGAATAAAAGGGAAATCTAGGGGAAGCGATTATTTTTTTTTCTTCTTTTTTTTTTTCGTTAATTTTTGTAACGTTGTTGGGTGCGTATCACGCAGAAAAATATTTTGTTGAATCGATAAAACTTGTTGGTTCAGCCATAGAATATGGTTGTTATGTGGACTAAATATTTGGTGGACACGATCAAATGCTTTGATTAGTAACTTTTGATTGATCATGTCGAATATTGCGGTAAATCGTCCCAAATATTTATGTAATTACGTTCACTCTACCAATACGTTTAGTTTGTCAAGTAAAATATTTGCCAAGATTAATAAAATGATTTAACCGAAATACATTAGTTGATAGAAGCAAACGAGTTTGGTCAGGTGAACCAAAATTCGGTTCCCCGAACCAAAACGTTTACTGAAACAAACGAAATGTCGTCAAACAAATAATTTTGCTCAGTGAACCAAATTTCTTTTCCGTCCCCCGGAAAACGGATCTGATTGTTTCACATTGCTGAGAATTGGAATTATCGTTTTGCAGAACACCGATAACGAGCAGAGGCCGGAGAATCAAGAATTTGTGGGGATCATGGGAAGCTCGATATCCACGAATCTCCATCCGGAATGACTGTTCATTATTTGTTGCTGAAAAGAGAACAGTGAAAATGTCCGGGATGCCAAGTGGAGCGTTATCATTGATAAATCTCCTTTCCGGGACGAGCGATGGGAAAGTCTGAGAGCGAGGCCGGATATCACGAGGGGTGTGGAAGTTGAAGCGATCTTCATCATGTCGAACAACACCAACGAGACCGAGGACGACTATTTCCTGGACTACGACGTCAACGAGTCATTGAGCCACTTCGACTGGGCCGAGCTGGGCCCCGTCCTGGTCGTCTACACCTTAACTTTCTGTCTGGGACTCGCTGGTAAGTTCACCTTTTTCCTTCGTTTTTTTTTCTCCTCTTTTATCCCCAACAACGGGGTAATTGCCATTACCTTACTCTCCGTCCACCTGTTGCTCCTCCGTGTCGTATATGTAATAAAATTTCCATTTGCCCCGTAACGGTGAAATCGATTTCTCTCCCCGGGACTTGTAATAGAGAAAGAAAATACTCATTTTATAAAAATAAATAAAGTGTGCCCCCGACTACGAAAGTGGTATAAGTAATTCTTTTCTTTTTTTTTCTTTCGTCGAAAACCTTACCTCACATTATTGAAATTTAAATTTATTCACGTAACTCAATGTATGGTATGAATTCATTTTCTTCTTTTTGTTTTTTTATATTTTTTTTACCTGGACTACTTTTATATTGTATAATTACGGGTAGAATTATTTACGGAGGAGCTGTGGACCTCGACCGGTGGACTTTTGCCGGTAATCGAGATGGTTTTTGACGTGTGAATAAATAACAATGAATTATCCCGCGGGTGATTTCCACGCAAAAGGGGAACCCGGTGACGAATGGATCGACGGCGAAGCTCAAAAGGAGCGAGTCGGATCCACCGGCTGCGGATAAATAAACCGAGGCGTTAAATCGGCAGCGAATAGTTGCAGGAAGAGGAGGCTAGAGTTAACAAAATGGAAATTAGTCGGCGACCGCACGAGCCTAGGGCTCAGAGAATACGGTTTATTATTCCTCCTTTTGACGGCGAGGCAGAAGCCGAAGCTGAAACTGAAGTGACCCTGTAAACGCAACTAACTAACAATTGGACGCGTAATCCGCCCATCCGAAGGCCGAGGTCGATGTTAAACAATTCTCGAGTCGGCATCGGGTAAACAAATTGACCCCATTTATCTCGATTTCTAAAGATTTTTACGGATAAATGTGAGGAAATATTTTTGTACCCGCAGAAAAAAAAAATGCTTCATTGAACAAAATCGATTGGCTGAGTTTGGTTAATTTCGGAAAAAGTTTCGGTTCAGTGATCCGAATTTCAGTTAACTCGATTAAGCTTATTCGCTTCAATCAACTATCGTGTCCTGGCTGCGTCGTTTCGTTAATTTTGGAAAACATTTTAGATGATAAATCAGAGAGTTCGGTTACATATATCAAATAGCCGAGCTTATTGGAAACAGTATGTTTTATCAAAATACGTCAGCCTTGCAAGACAACTCTTAACGGAATCATCGTTTTTGACAGACTAGTAAGGAGAAACATTAGACATTCTATGCGGTGCATAACATCGTGTATATAAAGTCCCCGTCTTTACAAATTAATTGACGACGTCGATTGCGCACGATTTAAAATAAAAATTGTGATAAAATAAAATGATGATAAAAATTCGCACGTGGGAGAACTGCTCGTGTACCAGTGCAGCTCGGTTTATGGTGGACAAAAAACCGAAAAAAAAATCGACACTCTTGACATCTGTCGGGTTCCCTTCGATATCCTCGTCTCCGTGACAAACCATTTATCAGTGATGCGACGTGTAATTCGAGACGTCATTTTTATCGCGGTAATCCTGGGGGTCGATTTGCATGAAAGCGATTCGACCAAGGCCTCTTTTCGGCGCTTGTGCCCCGGCATAATCGTCGGAAATTTCGCAGGTGATTTTTCCTGGAGAAATAAGGGGCTCTCTTGGAATGATTTCCCTGCAATTGGGTGGGTTTCGATTACATTGCCTTGGTTTATTAATTCCTCGGGGAGGGACGCGTGTAAAACAGTTCGGGGTACACTCGTAGCTCGGTTCGGTGGTGCCAATACCGCCATTTAAATGACTTCCGAGATTGCATTAATATGCGTCAACTTTTGGACTAGCAATTTCCCCGAGCTCTCTCGGTGGTCCCATTAGCACGGGAGAGACCTCGTACTTGGCCGGCATTTGAAGTACAAATTCGACCAAGCCAATAAAGCCACCGCTAATTGGAATTGCCAAACGGTGTTCATCCCCACATTAGAGAGATACACTTGACGGGCATATACATTTTTAATAAACTCCCCAGCCGCATTAATCGTGAGAAAAGTGGAGATTTCCATCGAGAAGCTTATTCAATCCTAAATTAACGTCCGACATTTTAACCTGATTCTCCATAGGGGATGAACGACAGTTTTATCGTAAATTCACCTCCTTCGTTAATGCTTTATTAACCGTTTGAGTCCTAGGGGGTATTGAAAAAACACTGTCGAAGAATCCCGAACAGCGCAGCCGCGCTTTCTCTAAATGAGCACGAGAAGACCCAAACAGCGCGATAGCGCTTTGTTTATTTTATGTCGATGAATCCCACTCGGCACGATAGCGTTTCTTGAATTGTAAGATGTATTATTTACATCCTTGCGTTACGATTTAAATTCCAATAGCGCGTGCCATAAACAACAAAAGTGTCGGTCATACATCGGCCCATTTCACGGTTTGGCTGAACGTAACTTCTCATACGGTTTGTTTACATTTGGCCCGATTGACATACCACGTCTCTCACACATTTTGTTCACGTTTGGCTCGATTGATTTATCACGTCTCTCACACGATATTGTAAGTTAAGAGGTTAAAAGAAGGAGCCGTGTAATGTACTTGGGTCAGTGAATCTGAGCGACTTTGACAGTCGGTGACGCATCGTCAGTTGTCCACAACGCTCGAAATGTGCTGGGTTTTCTCAACATAAAATCTGATCAGCGCAATTGCGCTACCTGGGTCTCAAACGGTTAATAGGCGAATAGGTTTTTGCAATTTTTACATTTACATTTATGCTTATGGTGAACATTCGCAGTGACGTAATTCACGTGTATTGAGCGTCGTTACTTGTTTATTATTTATATGTTATTAATACCACCCCCGTGTATGTTGTTATTCGTTTAGTTAGCGGGTATTATTGAAGGTTAGGCACAGCTGGGTTATAGGGAATAGAGATTTAACGGGCGTTAAGCGTTCGTTAAGGGCGCAGCGTCGCGGATGAAGCGTGCTGAACTTTGTTACGTTCATGTTGGAGATGTGTACGAGCGAAGCTCCCGGAAGATAAAGGAGCTCGCTCGGTTTGTTGATTTAATTCACGGCGTGAAAAGAGTCATCTCGGGTGCTTCCGTTCACAGGGAACGTCGTAATCATCGCCTCGACCCTCTGCCCGCGTCTGCGCCCTCTCCCGGCGACGCCGACGAACGTCTTCCTCGGAGGATTGGCCAGCGCCGACCTCCTGCTCATCCTCTTCTGCATACCGGTCAAGGTAAGCCGGCCACCTGCCAAGATAAATATTTTCGATCGTCGAGTCCCGTTGTTGGGGAAAACAATACTTTTCCAAGGTCGAAAGTTGCGCGAAAAGTCCCGGGCTAACGTTTCTTCGCCGTTAACGAGGGAAGTGGGAAGTGCGCCCGCGGCTGACCGTGACTTTCAGACCCGAGGCTCGTGTTGAATGGAAGCTGACGTTAATGCTTATTGAAATTAACTCTCGTTGTATATTTTCTCAACCTCTTCCGGAATAGTTAGACAAAACTAGCCTTGAGGAAAGGGAGAGCGTGAAGTGCACCCGCGGCTGACCGTGGCTTTCAGACCCGAGACTAGTGTTGAATGGAAGCTGACGTTAATGCTTATTGAAATTAACTCTCGTTGTATATTTTATCAACCTCTTCCGGAACGGTTAGACAAGACTAGCCTTGAGGAAAGGGAGAGCGCGAAGTGCACCCGTGGCTGACCGTGACTTCCTGATTTCAAATTCGTCTGAAAAGGAAGCTGACGTTAATGATTATCGAAATTAACTCGATAAAGTTTCTTCAACCTTTTCATTAACGATTGGACAAGTTTATGGTCTCGTGGAAAGGGGAAGCGTGAAGTGCACCCGCGGCTGACCGTGACTCTTGTCACCAAAGAGAACTGGCACTGATGCTCATTGAAACGAACTCTCTGTATAACCTCCCTAACTTCTTCTTCCACGGTTAGACAAGTTTATACAGTCTTGGCGAAAGGGGAAGCGCGCGAAGTGCGCCCGCGGCTGACCCTGACTTCCGGACTCGGGATTCGCCTCGAAAGGGAGCTGGCGTTAATGCTCATTGAAATTAACTCGCTGTAAGCTTCGTTAACCTCTTCTTCAACAGTTAGGCGAGTCTACGGTCTCGGCAAAAGGGAGAGGGCGAAGTGCGCCCGTGACTGGCCGTGCTTTATCCACTTACCGCAGGCGGACGTTTATAGATGCGCTAGGTGGTCTTTATCCGACGCCCCCCGCGCCGGTTTTCTTCGCAGATGGCGCGAGCGGCGCGTAAATCACTAGGCACGCCACGGAAGCTCTCACTTCCGTGGGGAATTTACACCGGCGAGGTTGGCTGCACTGCGGCGCTGCCGATCGATCGAAATATGACCGAAGACAAACGAGATCGCGCGGCCCGATAATTTTGTCCGAAATCGGAAATCTGCTGTAAATCCCGGGCGATACGGCCGAGTCAACACTGCCACCATAAATCCCCAGACTCGGCGAAATCGGGCGTAACTCATCTAACGAATGATTAAATCTGTCGCTCGACTTTCGATTTCAATTTAAGTAGGGCTCCAGTTGTGCCAACGTCGAGTACGAGTTTCCACGTCTTATCTCGCGATCTCACCGTTTCTTATCATCCGGAACACCACACGATGAGCTTTCGCCAAGGCAATCATGGTCTAGGGAGATAGCACTAGGCGGACATCCTTTTTCTGGGGGGCGAAAAAAGAGAAGTCACACGTAACGTTGCATCCAAGGTGGCCGGTGAGAAACGTAGCGAGTTTTGCGCGACGTCGCGACGCTTTTTCCCCTCTCTACGATGAGTGGCGTTAGGCGCGTGCAAAAGTCCCTAGCCCCTCCCCGCGGAGTGGGAAAAACAGAGCGCGGGGATATATTTCACGCCCAAGACGCCGACCAGGGGGGCGGTGGTAGTAAAACCGCTGGGGAAACTTTTGATATTAGCGGGGAAAAAAGTTTGGAAAGCACCAGATGTTCCCGCGAATGGTCGCCGGGAGCACTTCGTGCTTTAATTTCCTCGGGAGGGAAACGTTCGTCACTCGAGGCGCGATCTCTGATAGCCGGGATTTTTGCGCGCATCCCCAGTCTCGGGAATTCCCAACTCCCTTTAGTTTTCATTTCTTCTTCCTTTTTTTTTTGTTTTCTTCCTTTTTTGAACTCCAAAGCAATATTCATCGGGAAGATGACGTTTCGTGTCATCGCGCCGTGGGTCGATAATTGCGCTCTCCATGAGCGCCTCGATTATTCGACAAAGGGGATTACATTATTCTGTGGAGGACGACATCTTGATGTAAGCACCCCGTCATAATTAAAGTTGATCCAAAGGTTCCGCTTCTCAAAGGGAACTCTCTTCGATTATATCCGCCGTGAGCGTTCATACTTGTAATGGCAATGGCGGCTTCGGTTGCCCCGTGAATCACGGGATGCTGGAGAGCGTTCCGCCGTTTTTCCCACGATCTGCTCGCGAGATGCGGACCGATTGCGCAATAACCCGGACAAAGGTGTCCCTGTATTCGCGCAAGGCGTTCCTCGACTTTTATGCCCCTGCGTAACGAGAACGGAGCGGCCGCCATTTTGGTCCCGCTCGTACGGAAGGGGCAAAGAAAGTATCCCACGTGTATCTCATCGACTTCGTTAGTTTTGACATATGTTACGGTCCATTGAGAAATTAGACACACCTACTTCCTTATACGTGGTAATTCACGAGTTTAAGGGGCGAAAACCACCCTCAAAGTTGACCCTCAAAGACAGTTTTTCGACACTTCCTCGTAAAGGGAATTGAATATGATATATCGTTGAAATAACTGGCTGAAACTCGATTAATTACACGCGGTCCAGTCGAGAAATATTATTCCGTTCACGGGAAAGTGTCAAATAACTGTCTTTGAGGGTGGTTTTAACTCCTTAAACTCGGTAATTACCAGGTGAACAAAATATGTGGTTCTTATTTCTTCACTCATTATTATACTCATTTTTTGACTCAGTATTATACTCATGCCGGAACCAAAGAAAGGGGTAAGGTACACCTAGGATATTTTTCTAGTTAGAAAGAAGGACGCCGCCACGTTAGTCTTTCACCTGTGGAAAAAGCGGCGGTCGTTCCTCCAGCTTGCTCGCCGCTGCTTTAACGAACAACTACGAGAACAAGTTTAAACAATAAATGGGAACCTTCTTGGTCGTGTCTAATTAGTGCGAGCCGCAACGAGGCGTCGTTGTCGACATTGTTTCTGGGCAAACAAAAACTCACCGCTTTGACCGTCCATACGGAAGAAAAGCACGTGGGTTACGTCGCGGGTCTTTTCAAAGCAATTTATGAAGAACGAATTTCTGCATTGTCCGACGGTACTTAATTCCTCCCAGCCACGTGGGATGAATTTTTCCGAAATTCTGGCCTCAGTTCAGTCGTTTGAGGTTCTCGTTAGCTCGCCCTTTCTAGGCGCGATTGTTACTTGGGACGGTTTATACGAACCGTGATTAGCGTGAAATTCCTTAATTAGGATTAGTTAATCTCGGATTAGCGAAATTCCCGTTGGACCGGCAAAAGTTAGGCTAACCGGAGATTGAAACCCGAACGGTGGGTAACCACCTGGAATTTGGCGATTAACTCTAATCGCGCGTTAAGTAATCCTTGATTATGGATTTTCATTCGGATGTGGCGCAATCGGCCCTTTGTATGTCGTTTGTTGAGAGCCACTGACTCCTCGTCGAGCGTTCGACGCGGTTCCTTTTATTAAATGATTGGACGTAGTTGGCCGACGCAAAGGCGTCACGACGAGTTCCCAAGTCGCGACGGCGTTTCTTTCGGTTCGACTAATCGCAGCTCGGCGCGATCGGTCGATCGATGGTCGCCGTCGATGATCGATTCGCTGATTCCCGCGGGTGGCGGTATCGGGAAATTCCATTGCGGCCCGTAATCGGCCGCGATTGGTCGACTCGACCGCCACAATGGAAATGCCGTTGCGTTACTTACGCGCCGGTTTGGCGGTGCCGAGTTCGAGGGTGCGTGCGAGCGACGAATCGAAAGTAATTTATCGACTGAATGGCGGCGATGTATTCCGGCCGCGTGGCGCGAAGCCTAGCCACGCACCTAACCTCAATGCGTTCACAGAAACGCGCTCCATTGCAGAAATGCACGGATAGTTGTTACGTGCTGCGGGGGCGTGAATATCCAATCAGAGAGCGCTAAACAGGCGCGGTTTCGGGACACAATTGCTCGCAGCTTCGGTCGATATCGGGGAGTAGCTTTTGGGACCTCGAGGAATGTCGGCGGCGGAGAAGGAAAAGGAGGCACTGCACCCGGGGGGAATGCGCAGACAATGCCGCGGAATCTCGAAACTCCGTTTCGACACCTTTGCCGCGCTCTGCCGCCACCCGAAAGCCACGATTCTCGAAGATTCACTCGCGAGCTTCGCGGTGATTGCCTCGGAAACGTTGTATCTGCTCCTGTGACGATTTAGCGAGGTCTTGAAAGTCTGAGGTGGAGCTCCGGGAGAGCAGCGCCGCGGCGCGGCGGAAGGACTAAGCGCAGCCGGCGCGGAAGAACGAGCCGGTGTATCAAACTCGGTACCTCCGGGGCTTTGTTCCTCGCTTAAATGAGAAAGCGAGATTTATCAGAGGGCTGGATTCTCAAATGTTCATTCGCTGGTCTTGCAATGAAGTCCTTAATGGTCGCGTTTTTGCTCTGGGCGAGATTTACGGGGACTTTAAAAGTTCCAGGTGGAATAGGGGCAGATTAAACGCAACCGTGACGGAGGAAGAAATTAACCCCGCCGGGTTGCCAGGCCGGGTGTTTGCAATTCTTTCCTCTTCTTGATATCATTTGTGTAGGACATATCAATAGTGCGTTTCTCGAAGGTTCACTCGCCGGCTGCACGATGACTTCTTTAAGAGACATGTTTATGCGTCCACGGTGGTTTATGACGATCCTAAAAGTCGCAGGTGGAGTAGAGTAATGATCCACGGCTGGTTGGACATCGCCATTACTTATCGCTCGTTTTCATGCCATCACTCTCTTTCTCTCTCTAGGTCGGGGTCTATTTGTTGAAGAAAACTTCCTCTAGCGCAATTTCCTAGGATGAAGAAATACCGAAAAGTACTTGGACCTTAATTAGAATCGGACAAAAGGGCTTTTCTCCTTTCCCGCGGAAATGGCCGCATTCCTGGTTGTACATTCTAATTGGTTTTAATATTAAATTGGGAACCGCTGTTCTCGGGAAGTTGTTTCGCGATTCGCTGGCCGA